ACAACGTTAACAAGTACTTTTATTTTGAAAGTGTAACAGGACGTTGCATATTTATTGTTGCTAACTTTACCAAGGAGCCCTAAACGTGAAAAAACAAAGCTAAAGGGGTACCCAGGGCGTTAGAAAGCAATGCCGAGGGGTCTTGACCAAGCATCCATATGCAATGAGTTGGGAGTGAGAATGCGTTGCCCAATTCATTCGATTCATGAACTTGTCGTTCTAAAAGCATGTGCATGAATATACTGCTGTCTCGTCCTCCACTCATCTGGTTTCTTTGTCTTTGTCTTTCCACCAGATGTTGAACCTGGCTGCAGAGATTTGTTCCCATTCAAACCCCCAAAAAACTCGGCATTAGTGATTTCCAGCTACTGATGTTGGGTGATCAGGTCTGGTTCGTTTCGAGATCATCCCAAAAGATGTTGGATGCGGGTTGAGGCCAGAAATCTGTGCAGGCCAGTCAAGAACACGGCTGTCTAAACTTGAAGACGTTTCGACTCTCCTCCGAGGGGGTGCCATGTGCGTTGTTACCAGGCGCCAAAAGATGAAACATAGCTTTATGACGCTTTGGGAATGAGAACGGGCTGTGATGTTGCCTCCTCCCCTGTTCAGCGATGGTCTCTCTTTTCTGATGTAAATGGCCTCTTTCACCCCTCATCTGTCCTGGGAGGCAAAACGTATTTAAGTTTGTTCAACCAAGTCCAGTTGCCCTTGATTTTAACCTTCCTTGAATAACCTGACCTGGATGACAGTGAATCTTCACAGACACTGTTAAACTAAAATATCACTATTAGTGCCTTTAATTAGAAGCCTCGTCCAAACCGTGACCAAAGGTATGTCCTCACACTTTTGGCCATATGGTGTTCAATGAAGCAGCAAAATGAACTGTGCAAAGACATGATGGGTGTACAAAGGTTTACTGGAAAATAACCTCTTAGTTGTCTGAAACACTCAGCTGAAGGGTAGACGATGCTCAATTTTAAAGCTGCATTTGACGATTTTATGATTTTATGTCAACAGAATTTTTTTCAACATAATCACAGAACTGAGAGATTGTCATCGTTTATACGAAGACATGTATTAGTTACAGGAGCAAAACTCAATATAGATGAATAAACTGTAGTAGAATCACCTACTTCAACTGTGGCAATGATCTTAATCCACCCCTTTTATAAAGAGGTAAATTCAAGTAAAAGTACACAAAATATTTAAAATACTACATTACAAGTAAAAGTCCTGCTTTTTACGAAGTGTCAGCTACTTCATTGTTAAAGTATGAATTGTAATAATACCCTTTACGTTGAAATAAATGCCCCCTGTAAGTGATATTACAACATATGTTATTATCACATTAATGCGTTAGCGGAATATTAATGTTGTAGCAGGTGCAGCTAACTTTAAAGTTCAATCAGAAATGTGTAAGTGGTAACTAAAGCTGTCAAATAAATAAAAAGTGAAATGAACACTGAAATGAAAATGATCTTATTCCAGCTTCTTAACTGTAAATATTTTCTAGTTCCTTTACAGTAAAATGAATATCTTTGGGTTGTGGAAAAAACAAGACATTCGAGGATGTCTTCTTGGGCATTTTTCACAATTTTAGGACATTTTATAGACTATGGAAAACAAAAGCAATACAATAAGATTAGATAAACTTTAATTTTAATGCCACTGAAGAACAATTCAATTACAGATATTAAATGAGGAAATGTGAAGATTTTCGAGATTTGTTAAAAGAAACAATTATCGTGTCCGCCCTCTCGGTTTAAAACAAATTTACATCAAGCGGCCACCTTTTTGTTTTCTAATTAGGTTGAAACCCCAGAGGTCATTCAGTCAGACTGCTGCTCTTTATAATTATAATGAAGAGAAAGACTTCACGCTTAACTTCACATCAAGGTGTGTGAAAACTTTCAAGCAGTGTTGTAATTCCAGAAATATGAGGTTTGTGAGTCATTTACACTGCGGACGCTGGGGACATGTCCTCACCACTTTTTGAAATGGCTAATAAATAACAAATTAAAAATGCTTTCAGAAAGGTTTCTTTTGACAAGAAGAAAACATGCAGTACAATTAAAATATAGAAGAAACAAATGTGCATTGTAGTAAATAACTTAAGCTACAAAAACAAGCTACTGAGCATAAAATGACCCTAAAAATGTGCAACAATCAGTAACTTTAACAACTTCTTGACATATTTTCTTTTTGGCCAAATTTTCCATTCTCTCCCCGTGAACACGACAAAAGGGGAGGGAAGACTAAATCGTGCCTGCATGATGATATTAAATGAGACAAGTTCAGTTGCAGGAGAAAACATTTTAGAATGCACAGTTAATTTCTAAATGTAATAGCAGTGTAAATACTTAAGATAAGAAAACAAGATAAGAAAACCTTTATTTGTCCCAAAGTAACTTATTCCATTTAATTAGTGTTTGATTACTTTTCTATATTTCTAATGTACGTTTTCAACTGGCAGACAGCGCTGAAAATTCAAACACGAGGACTAATCAAAAGCATCAGAACAGCATCAAACTTTACTTAACGGCTGTGGCTGGAAATGGCAAAGAAAGACATTGTGCACACTAAAAACATGCAAAGCAACAAAATGAATATTATTCAACATATAGTTGATCTCTTTACAGATACTATTCAGATGTAACCCCCAATGTGATCATGACCATTTTCATAAGTAACTGTAATTACACATTTTTCCCAGTAACTGTAATGCATTACAGTTAAATTTACTTTGTAACAAAATTATATGTCACTAGTTGACACTAAGAAAGCAACAAAGAATTTCTGAGAGCATTAAGGCATTATATTTTTATATTTTTAATTGTCACCTGCCGCATGAATTGTTTGTTTCCCGTTACATAAATAATAACATTTCCGCCATAAAATGCAGAAAATGTCATCAGAATGCAGGAAATCAATGCGTCATTGCATCATTACCGTCATTAATACTGCCACCGCTCGCAGAGTATCTGTTTCAACAAATCCCTGTGAATTCAGCGCAACTTTTTGACCAACCACCGCAACTTATCTGCAAATTTCATCGCCAGTAAACTCACTTCCTTGTTTACAAGGCGCAGCAGACATGTGTGATCTCACATTTACCTACAAAAATAACAGCAAAGGACCATGAAAAACATTATCCACATCTTCTTTACCAAAGCCGGGGTAAACTCTTTTGCACAACGTGCAGTGTTGTGGTCGAACGTAAAAGGAAATTGCCGCCACAAAACATGGAGGATGTCAGCCATCTTGGCAACACCTCCGGGAAGTTACGTCAGACTAACAAGACTTGGCTCCTATCTGAGTGAATGGGGAGAGACCCAGAACTGCACTTTTACTGATCACCAGGACATAAAAATTACTTGATTAGAATCAGCAGTAAAAATTAATAAAAATTGCAAAAAAAGTTTAACGAACCAAAAATAAGGTCTACTACGCATGCGTCTAGGGCTGTACATAACTATTATTTTTCAAGTCGATTAATCCAACGATTATTTTTTCGATTAGTCGATTAATCTCACGAAGGATGGATGGATGGATGGATGGATGGATTACCTGTCCTCGTGCTGATAATGTGCCGTGCTCGTGTAGAGACAGAAAGTAAACAGGATTTGCGGTGCTGCCGTCAGTGCTGCGGGATACTTTTGCTTCGTGTTCATGCTGCTTCACGTATTCGTGGACAGCAGTTGTGCTGCAGTGAAGCTCGCGGAGCGAGCACCACATTGTTGAGTGTGTGTCCGGTCTTGTAGCTGGAGCTTGTCCGGGAATCCCAGTAACACCGGATGCAGCTACGCTTCGACGCACGAGTCGACGTATTTACGGAATCGATTACGAGAACTACGTTGACAAATTGCCTCAGTCCTACATGCATCACTATTACCACGGAGGCGCGGTTGAAGTACCTTACATCAGTAGAACCACACGACTAGCTGATATATATTTCCCGCTTTTGCTGTTTAAAGCAGACCATTGGCTTTCTAGTGGGAGGGGCGGGATGTGTTATGGCAGAAAATTGTGTCCTCTTACATTTAATCTTTTATGCATGTTCTTCAACTATTACTGTTATTACTATTAATTTTACTAGTGGTGGCGCAGTGGATAAGACACATGCCTTTGGTGTGAGAAACCCGGGTTCAATCCATCCACCATTGTGTCCCTGAGCAAGACACTTAACCCCTAGTTGCTCCAGAGGCGTGCGACCTCATGTAAAGCAATTGTAAGTCGCTTTGGATAAAAAGTGTCAGCTAAATGTAATATAAATGTTCTACTATTGTTATGTCTGAGATAGATAGATAGATATATACAGTATGTATTGTGTTTTTATATTCTTAACCTTTCCTTCTTGTATACTCCTTATGTTAGTCTGTCCACATTTACTAGGATTTAGGTAAAAGCTTGTATGTTCATTCAAGGTTGGGAGAGGATCTCTTTTCCCCAAAACATAGAAATCTAAGACTGTGTAAATGATTATGCATCCCTTTGACAGGGGGCCAGACGCCCAAAGCTGCCCAAGGCAGCGGATCTCTGGACCAGCAGTATATGTGTTTTAGTACTTCTCTGTTTATTCTCTTTTATTAATAAATTCTTCAAAGACAACAGTTTGTTGTAACTCAATTATTTGCTTAATCCCTCACCAACAATTGCCGGTATGGGTTTTCCCTCTTTGAGTTATATTGAGGATGTGATTTAGTGTTGTGTCTCCTACGTCTCTGGGAAGTCCCACAGGGATACTGGAATGAATAGCCCTGGATGTGGGGAGGGGCCCATCAAGAATGCAGGCTCCAGAATTTTGTGCTACGCCCCTGATCATCTCAGCCCCAATGTCGCCCACCACCACTTTTCAACACCATGTTACGCCTTTGTCTAGGATTATGTATTCAATATATAATAATACGGCTATAAACAATATTTTAGTATAACTTTGGTAACTGGTTTTATAATTGTGTGGGTTTAAAGTTACACTGGTTGAAGGAGCGAAACACTCCCCTCTGCTGTCACACTGAAGACAAGATATTTGTGAATATCTTAACGGGCTCGTTTCGGCCTTTGTGTTTGTTTGAAAGCTGCTGAAACAAACCCAGAGAGCACGTTTATGTCCTCCTCGGGTAGTCCGGCTCGTACTTGTACCTCCGGCATGGAGCGGCTGTAGCAAGCTCGCTGCGTGGCGGTTTCCGGTGTCCGTCCGTCTGCAGGAGGATGGCGTCCGGCTTGAACCGCATCCTCTCCACCGCCGGTCCTCCGAGTCCCAAATACACCGAAGGTTGTCGACCTCAGACTGAAGACGGCAGTGAAAATCATCGATAAGCCGCTCGGGTAAGCGATCGTTGTTTTTTTTTTTATTGTACATTTTATTTGCAGATGTGTGAGGCTCGGTTGCAGGAGGTGAATGTCCCCCTGCAGCTCCGGGAGGCCTAGTTTGATTCGGGATCCGTGAAAGGCTCGTATCAAACGTTAGACCAGTAAACGTTATTGTGGCCTTTCACGGTAACGGTTAGCTTAACAGGCGGCTTCACTTCCGTCGCGTTTACCCGTAATTGTAATTTACTTAAAATGTGCATTTTTACAGCGCAAAAACCGGCGATTAATATTTATATCCCCCCTCTAATGAGACTTATTGATGATCTCTGAGGAAGTGCTGTTGTTTAGTAACGTTAGCTGCTAGCTAGCCGTTAGCTGACGAGCTAATGTCGGTTAGCTTAGCTAAGTTACATCCTGAAACTGAAACAGTATCTTTAAACACCCTCAAAGAAATGACACTTAATCTCCAGCACGACAAGCTGTAAAAGTCATCCAGTTATTTACATCAAGGTGATGTTTTAAAGACACGTTTATCTGAGAGAAAGGAAACAAGTACGCTCCCGATGTGCGTTTTCAGGAAATAGACCGAGCCCCGTTGTGGTTTTTGATGAAGCTCTACCGTTAGCTAGCTGGTTATTTTTGCGGGTTTCCTTTCGGGACCGTGCTTCGGAGCTGGACCTGTCACCATATTATCTGCCTCACCGATAACAATATTTAAATAGCACTTTTAGATTTTAGTTTCCTGGGAAATAGAGGAACAAGTTTTAGGCCCATCAGAGCCAGTTAGCGCTAATAACAGTTAGGTGGTTTGTTTCAGTTTTATCTGGCCGCAAACAAAACTTAAAATTATTCTGAAACTGGATACATACTGCTGAAATGTAAATATAAACATTGAAAGTTGGTGTTCTTGTCTCTTATGTTGGTATTTATAATGGATCATGTTTGAAACTGTGGCAGCTAAACACCCTGCAGAGTGTTTTGCAATAGCAAGAGTGTTTAATGTATTAGAAGCTTTAGTAACTTGTGGTTTTGTTTCCCCCCTCGTCCTTCCTCCCAATAGGTTTTCTCCCCTATCTCAACGGACCTGTGTAAACACAGATACAGCACTCAGCTACTCTCAGGGTGTCAGCTACCATTTCTTAAACCACATCCACCTTTTCAGTTTGACACTGAAATCCCCCACATCTGCCAAGAGCTGAATCCCTACATGCGAAGTGGAAGGATGACGGAGGCGTGGCAGCAGCAGCAGCAACATGCAGTGGCTCCACCCTCTGTTGTGCACACGCTCCCCCAGGGATCTGACAACCCTCTGGGCTGCACCGTGTACGGAGTCGTCCTACAGCAAGATGCCTCCCTGCAGCAGCCCCAGCACGGCCAGCAGCTCACAGTTCAAGCCCAGCAGCCCTCCTTGCAGGTAGGAGGTGAGAGAGGGCACAAGTGTGGAGCCTGTGGCCATGATATATCTCACCTGGCCAACCCTCATGAACACCAGTGCATGGTGAACCAAGACCGATCCTTCCAGTGTACTCAGTGTATGAAGATCTTCAGCCAGGCGACCGACCTGCTGGAGCATCAGTGTGTGCAAGTGGAGCAGAAGCCTTTTGTGTGTGGTGTTTGTAAGATGGGCTTCTCTTTGCTCACCTCCTTGGCCCAGCATCACAACTCGCATGGCAATGGAAACAACCCGATGAAGTGCTCCATCTGTGAGAAAACATACAGGCCGGGTTCTGGAAACGTCACCCCAACGTCATCAGCTGCCAACCCTCAGCAGCCCTCCACTGGTGAGACGTCCAGTGGCGGTGCAGCCATCAGTGCCTCGTCTCCTCCTTCATTTGAGGCCTCTGCACCAGACAGGCCATATAAGTGCTCAGTGTGCCATAAGTCCTTCCGGCATTTATCAGAGCTGACCCGCCACGAGAGAGTACACACTGGGGAAAAGCCATACAAATGTGACACGTGTGATAAAAGCTTCAGCCAGTCTTCACATCTGGCGCACCACCAGCGTACACACAGCTCAGAGCGGCCGTATAAATGTGCGGTGTGCGAGAAAAGCTTCAAGCACCGCTCGCACCTTGTGCGGCACATGTACGCTCATTCAGGCGAGCACCTTTTCAAGTGCAATTTGTGTGAGATGCACTTTAAGGAGTCGTCTGAGCTCCTGCACCATCAGTGCCAGCCGGAAGGGGAGAGACCTTTCCGCTGCGGTTCTTGTGGGAAGAGCTTCAAGCGCCCGTCTGACCTGCGGCAGCACGAACGCACCCACTCAGAGGAGCGACCTTTCCAATGCGAGGAGTGCCAGATGAGCTTCAAACAGCAGTACGCTCTCGTGCGCCACCGTCGCACCCACAAAAACCCGGCCGATCGCCCTTTCAAGTGTAACCTCTGTGATAAGGGGTTTCTCCAGCCATCCCACCTGCTTTACCACCAGCAGGTTCACGGTATGGAGAGTCTGTTTAAGTGTGCGTCCTGCCAGAAGTCGTTCAGCCAGTCGGGAGAACTGCTGCGGCACAAATGCGGTGGCGAAGTGGAGAAGCCGTACAAGTGCGACGTGTGCGGCAAAGGTTACAAAAAGAATTCAACGCTGCAGCGCCACCAGAACTCTCACTGCACAGAGAAGCCGCTGAAATGCTCCCTGTGTGACAAGCGCTTTGTGTCGTCCTCCGAGTTCGTTCAGCACCGCTGCGACCCGACCCGCGAGAAGCCGCTGAAATGTCCCGACTGCGAAAAGCGCTTCAGGTACTCGTCTGAGCTGCAGCGCCATCGGCGAGTTCACACCGGGGAGAAGCCTTTCAAGTGTGCAAGCTGCGACAAGAGCTTCAAGCAACGCGAGCACCTGGCCAAGCACCAGAGCGTGCACTCGCGGGAGACGCAGTTTAAGTGCGTGTGGTGCGGAGAGCGTTTTGTTGACCTCACGGCTCTGCAGGAGCACACGGTCCAGCACACTGCAGAGGGGGAGAGTTTCCCCGAAGCTCCCTGCATCCCATGAACCGAACTGCTCGTCAGTCCTTAGCAGCAAACATGACATTCACCCACAAAGCAACATGTGCCAGCCTCCGCTCTCCCATCTGTTTATAACATGCACCATTAATTATGTTTAATGATTTTTAGTATCAGTAACGTGTGAAGACTGAATAAATCCTCATCCTTTGAGAAAATATCTGAACACCCTGAATCGACAGACGGAGTAGGATCCCTCGTCTTATTTTGGAACACATGGAGAAGAACTTGAACAGAATGGAAAAAGGCGTGTAACGTAAAATGTGCGAAGAGTTTTTTTTTTTTTTTTTTTTTTTTTAGTTTAGTAGAGTGCGGGACCTTCTAAGGTTGCATGTGATCGTCTGTTTTGTAACTGTTTATGTTGTTGAGAAAGATGACAAGAACATCCAGACAGTTGTCACGTACGTGTGTGTGCGCGCGCTCATGTGTTAACCTCCCCCTGAAATCCATGTGCCTTTTTTTACCGATAACTCCTTTTGTGTTTTTGTTAATCTCATGTCCCAGTAATAGCCCAAAGTCCTCTCATCCGTCTACAGCGGCTGGCTTGTGCAGCAGTATCTTTTCACATACTAGACCCTAGGTAGTATCATCTGTTTGTGCATGAATATTTATCACACTTTAATATCACTGTTGTATTATAGGTTTGGTTTATTTAGGAAAACATCCTAAGAAGAAGAAGAAGAAAAAAAGTGGATTTGTGAAAATGTATAGCCTGTGTCCTATGAAATCTGTGTTGTTGCATCTTTGTATTAAAAGAAATGACAGCTAGGTAACTAACCCATACCTATCATGTCATACAAACACTTGACATGTGCAATAGAACATGCACAATGTAATATTTATGACTACTGATTCATGGCATAGTCTACTCTGTTATATTATAGATTGTGTGTATACGCTTATGTAAACATTGAAAACTGTATAGTGCTTATGTTACCTGCTTTTGTATTCACCACAAATGAGCTTGCAGTATTTTGCAAGTTTTAAAAGTTTCAGTTCCAGATAGATTCTCACAGGGTTAAACCCCCGGCAAGACTCCAAAGCATTATACTGCTCACTTGCCACAAACGAGCTGCGTTTAGTTACTGTGCTATTAGATCTAACAAAAGTAATATTTTTTATCTTATTTTGAAGAATTGGCCTTGTAACATCTTCCTCCTGGTCCACACCAGAATTTAATCTGAGTAGCCTCAAAGTTACGATTTATGTGTTGGTTTAGGCCGGGCATAAAGTAAAATATTTCTGTGCTTTAGTTTACTGTGTGGGTTTCTATATTCTGTACAATCTTTGCAGTATATATTTAAAAGAAAGTTTTTGGAGTTTAAAAATCATGCACAACGGGAATTGCAGCGGGCGGCCGATGCCTTTGTGGGGGGCCTGTGTGGTTGTGCCATGGTTCAAGTCCTGGTGAGTCTGCTTCAGAACCTCCTGTTGGAGGTGAATGAGTGTAACGAAGCGTTAGATTTACACATATGGATATCAATATAGACTCCTGTTCATACTGTATACAGACAATTAAAATAAACCACCCTTATGAAAATAAAGGTGTACATTGTTTTCATCACGTCTGACTGCTACAGATATTTTGTCTGATCGTCAAAAGTAGAGCTGCAACTGAAGATTATTTTCATTCTGATTAATCATTTATGGATTCATATGCAGATCGTTTTCTTTCATCATATTTGTTAGGAAAATGCCCTGTAATAGGCCTTTTGCAATATTGTCTGACATTTCAACAACTAAACAATCAGTGGATTACTTGAAGAAATAATTGAGAGATTAATGGATAATGAAAATAATCATTAGTTGCAGCCCTGTTTTGTGCAGGGCATAAAACTCCCAAACGTGAGCCTCTTTAGGGCTGAAACTAATGATTATTGATTAGGATTAAATTATTAAATTAGTCTATAAAATGTAAGGAAATAGTGAAAAAAAATGCCCATTATATTATCCCAGAGCTCAAGGCAACGTCGTGAACTGTCTACTTGTCCGATTGTCCAAAGATAAATTCAGTTTACAAATATATTAAGAGAAAAGCAACAAATGTTCACATCTGTGAAGCTGAAACTGGGAAAAAAATTATGTTTGTGATGAAAAAAAGTGTCCCTAAAAAAAAAAAAAGATGTATTATCTAAATAAATCTTAATTGTTAAATGAAAGGATGCAAAGTGAATTTCAGTGTAAATTGTCATCATAATATAGTTCAATTTTATTTGTATAGCGCCAAATCACAACAACAGTTATCTCTGAGCGCTTTTCATAAAAGAGCAGGTCTAGACCGTACTCTATGATATTTACAGAAGCCCAACAATTCCCACCGAGAGCAGCACTAGGCGACAGAGGCAAGGAAAAACTTCCTTTTAAGAGGCAGAAACCTCGAGCAGAACCATGGCTCAGGGTGGGCGGCCATCTGCCTCGACCGGTTGGGGGTGAAGGATGGAGAGAGCGATTGATACAATTATTAATTAATCATCTCTAAATTAAAATTCTGCTGCTTTGGTTGAAAAAGAAAGTTAATAGTAGATTTTATTGTAATTATAAAAGTATGAAATATTAACAGCAGGTATTGTTTAGTGCTAAACAATTAATCGCAACATTGAGGGAATTGAAAATCAAAAATTACAATTCCCACTAAAGTTGCGAAGTCTGTCAAAATACTTTTAGTATGATGTTTTAGGAGAATATTGGAAATGCCCCAGATCTAAGTACTAAGATAGTATATGTCAGAAGATGATATTTGTCAGCAGTACTTTAAATGTCACGGCAGGTTCTTTGGAGTTCATTCATGTGTCACAATAGTTTCTCTGTCCTCAGAGGACATTGTTGTCTTACAACATGAAGTCCAAGAACCTGTTTGTTATTGGACACTTCGGTAGAGCCATATGAAAGGCAGTTGTACGGGTGTTTAAAATACATTTCTTACCTGCACCAGACTGATCAAGGACTTTTCAAATTAAAGTATTAAACATTACTGTTCTGTTGTGATGAAGATCCCAGTGGTGGAGGAAGTATTCTGATACTTTATTTAAGTGAAAGTACTCTAGTACTCTGTTCCTGGATTAAAAATGTTAACTTAAGTAAAAGTATGTAACCAGGAAAATATACTTGCAGTATTAGATTATTATTCCTCATGCATTAATGAAAAAGTTTTACTGCTGTAGTCGTTGAGATGGAGTTCATTTTGAACTATTTTGTATCAGACTGCAACTAATATTAAGTATTTATCAGATTCTTTTCTCCTTTAATGGATTGTTTGGTTGCACTTTTTACTCCCCCGTCTTCATTTAATCCCTTCAAGATACAATTTACTTTGCATATTCAGCTTTTAGTATTCTTTAAACCAAATAAAATTTCAAATTAATGTTTGATCTTCAAATGTGGTGATTTTGGTTTAGACCATTTGGACTTGTGAATGTAATATTTTCCAGATAAAATAAAGGATTCAAACAATATAATGTATTTTTTCCGCAAATTAATAGTTAAACCAGTCAACATCTAAAGGAAAGATGGTAAATCTAACCAAAATAATTTGGGATCAAATATATTGTTATATTGTTAAACCTATATTACACGAAGAGAGTTGTGTGTTTATATATATTGTTTTTCCGTTGAAGATAGTTGTGAGGTGGAAAAAAATTTTGCTTGTAGATGAGAAACTATGACAAGAAAGCCAGGCCATTTAATATTGATTTATTGAAATCTTTATTTCGAACATGCAAGAGAAAGTATAAAAAAATAACACAATGTTTAAAAAAATAGGAGAAAAAACAACAACAGATGAGCAGCAAAAGTACCCTTCTTTCCTGTGTTAACATGCTTCTATCACACTTACATTCCTTCAATTAACATTATTATTATGTTTTATATATATATAAAATATATATGTATATATTTATGCACACAATATTAGAGTGACCACTGACAAGTATTTATTTATCTAACCTCAATTATGTACTTATTCAAACAGCAAAAAATACAATAAAAAAGACAAACAAACAAAAAAATCATAAACAAAGGAGCACTCCTACTTTTACTACAGTGCTTCTCGATACCTCTTGAAAATAATTTCTTTGTACATTTATTGATTACCTCACATTTATTCAGGTCAACCCAAAGATAAATTCAGTTTCAGAGAAAAGTCCTCTGTGGAAAAATGTTGGCGTTTTTGCTTAAAATATTTTCCCTAAAAATACATTTAAGACATTTTAAACATGATTAATTGTCAATATAAATCTTAATTTTGAAATGAAAGAATTCAAAGTAAATTTCAGTGTAAGCTGGCAAAAGTTGTACCATAAAATAGTTGCGGACTGTAATTTTCTGTCTATTGATTGATTGATTGATTAATTATTCATCTCTACATTAAAATACCATTGCTTTGGTTGATAAAGGAATCAAACAGTAGATTGAATTGTAAATATTATAAAAGTATAATATTTTATGAGTATGTATAGGTTAGGGCTAAACAATTAATCAAAACATTATTGAGAGAAAATGAAATGCAAAAATTACCATTACCATGTCCCTTTTCAAATAAATAGTTAAACCAGTCAACTTCTTAAAGAAATAATTTAAATCTAACCTAAATAATTTGGTACAAATACAAATACAATCAAATAATATGTCGTTGCTAAACCAATATTACATGAAGAGACGTGTGTGTTTACATTAAAAAGTCCTAGTTTTTCCATATAAGATAGTTGTGAGGTGTAAAAAATTGTGCTTGTAGATGAGAAACCATGACAAGAAAGCCTGACGATATAATATCGATTTATTGATTATTCACCAGCAGTTATTCAGGTCACCGAGCCTCCTGATTTACTTCCGGGTGATGTTTACCGCAGAAGGGAAGACCGTCCTGGGTCTGCTAACGAACCGCTGCTCGATGTACCACCACCGCCCGTTTCACAGAATTAATAATTCGCCGATACAGCAGATATTAGACACATAATTGATAACATAACATCGTTTCCCGGAGAGCAACGCCCCGCTGGTGCTAACGAGCTAACGTTCATGTCGGACGGACTTCCTCTGAGCTCGGATATTTCTACGACGAGGTTAGCCGGCTAACTTTAGCCCCGTTATTGATTTAACATTTCACATCTGTCGACACTGAACAATATTTGTGTTTTTAGTGTAAAAATGTTTTGTGTACTAAAACACGTAAGTTTACGATATATATGAGTCTCTATTCCTGCATTTATGTTTAAATTGTATGATTTTATGTTTGGCTAATTAAGCTAGGTCACCGTAACTAGCTAGCTGGCTAGTGACATGAAATAATCGTAAACGGTGTTTAAGCCTCGCAGATTTGTTTAAATGTTGAGATAACTCTGCGGTTACAAGCGAGATTATTGATAACTTGTTTATCATCTACGTGTGGGTTGTAGATAATTTATCTAGCCGATGAAAAAGGCCCCGGGGAGCCCGTGTCGTGACACACTAAGTTTCAGGTCTATAATAAAATTAATAGGTTTTACATATCTGAAAGTTGGATTTTAAACATAGTTTAGAGTATTTATGTTTATCTGGTCCAGGTTTGACACACAGAGAACTGTGGGATTTGTGCTACACCTGGTCTGTTGTGGTCTGGATGGAGAAGAAAACTGTGAAATTGTCTCTTCACAAGTAAAATGAATTTAGCACAAATCTGGAACTGGGTTATGTTTTTATGTTAATATTGTCCAGGTTTGACAAGTGTAAACCTGGTCTAATGTGGTGCACAAAGAGATTTTACTAATCTGAAACCGGGTTATGTTTCTGTGTTAATCCAGTCCACGTTCGACAAGTGTAAACCCGGTCTAATGTGGTGCACAAAGAGATTTTACTCATCTGAAACGGGGTTATGTTTCTGTGTTAATCCAGTCCACGTTTGACAAGTGTAAACCTGGTCTAATGTGGTGCACAAAGAGATTTTACTCATCTGAAACGGGGTTATGTTTCTGTGTTAATCCAGTCCACGTTTGACAAGTGTAAACCCGGTCTAATGTGGTGCACAAAGAGATTTTCTAATCTGAAACCGGGTTATGTTTCTGTGTTAATCCAGTCCACGTTTGACAAGTGTAAACCCGGTGTGGTCCACATCGTTATTAAACGATCTTTAGATAATTCATGTTAATCTGATCCAGGTGTGACATGTCTAAGTACAATGTTTTTTGGATTTTATTTTACTTTTTTTCACGGTTTCTCAGATAGAAAATAGAATAAAGTTGTCACAAAATTGAAGTCTAGTTTGTTTTTAAGTTAGTCCAGTTTGGTCTGGATGGTGAAAAGGGAGAGCTATTGCCCTTTTCTAAAATCTGATTTGGGGATTATGATAAACTGTCGGCAGGTTTAGAGAAGCTGGTTCTGACAGGGACACAATATCTGACCCCGGGACATACCCATCACAAACTGGGAGTTTGTTCTGTTACAAGTGATGTTTAAACGTCTCCATGTTTATCTAGTTTATTTTTGACAAGTTTAAGTACAGTGCTTTTTCAGGTTGATCTGGTCTAATGGTGAAAAGTCAGTGAAACCTCTCTTTCTCTAAAAATAAGATTAGTTTCATGAACGTGAAGTGGGTTTTAAAGAGTCTGTAGAGTCTGCACATTAGTCTAGTCCAGGTTTAAGAAACCTGTGATGTGGGCTAATGGAGAAAAAACCGTGAAATCACCATTTTCTTTCACAAAACAGTGTGACAGCAGAGATTAGTTCATTTAATTGGTCAGTTTACAGGAAATCAACTGTTTTGATAATTAATAGTTTTAGTAATTTTTAAAAAAAGTAAAAATACCAAACATACTGCACATTTTGCTAAAGAGTTTACCCTGCCTTGGTAAAGAAGATCTGGATCCTGTTCTTCAGTCACATGTCAGCTGTGTCTTGTAAAGTGAGTTTGATTTATGACAACTTTTTGCTGCAAACAGCTATAATAGGTCAAAATTGCAAGTTGCACTGAATTCACGAGGATTTGTTGAATTTGTTTCATTATTGCGAGCACGACGTAGCAGATTTGCAGGAGTAGCGCTGCAATGATGAGCTGATTTTAGCTTCTTAAATGTAAATATTTTCTGGTTTCTTTCGTCCTCTGTGACAGTAAACTGAATATATTGGGGTTGTGGACAAAACAAAGATTTGAGGACGTCCTTATTCCCCAATTACTGACATTTTATAGGCCAAACAACTAATCGATTAATTGAGAAAAAGATCAAATAATCGTTAGTTGCAGCAATACATCGGAAGCCAACTTCATCTTGGTTGTTATTGCATCCTTTAATCTGCATTTCTGTCCTCTGTCTCCGTCTGTTTTCCCCTGTCGTCCTGTAGCTGGCGGGTCTTCATCCCATCCTGCCTAACATCCTGCTCAGGGGCTTCACACATTCAGTCATCGTAGCTCTGTCCGTCTGCACAGCAGCTGCGTCAGACCGGCCTGACGCCTTTCATCAGAGGCTGCAAGTAGCCAGAGCCCATGGTAAGCACAGCACACGGATCTTAGAGCCACAAATTCTGGAGAGTCGGTGCGCTGCCATCCAGTATCGAGCAAAGAAGTATTTAGAGGGAGGTGAAGGTCCTCGACACAGGGCAGCAGAGCTAGCGATGCCCGGATCCACGCCGGCAAGCAGCAAGGCTCGGGTGTACACCGATGTCAACACACAGAAGAACAGAGAGTACTGGGACTATGACGCACATGTGCCAAACTGGAGGTAAACCTTAGTGTTTTACACTCACATGGCTCATATTTCTCTGCAGCATTAATCTGTTAAAGCACAAAACGGTACCATACTTGATCATTCTGGACTCAAAATGTTACAAAGCATACAACAATGAATAAAACATCTATCATCTAGAAGTGAGTTTATCATTGTGTACGTTCATCGCTGAATTTAATAATTATTTTAAAATGTAATTTTGAAAGATGAATGACTCAGAATGTATGAGTCATTTCCTCAAGATTAAAAAAATGTGTAATTTATGCAGAATTAGGAAGAATATAAATGAATTATTAATTTATTGCACATACTTTATTACAGTAAATATAAAAAAAGAAGTACAGAGTCTAACTTTCTAGCTCGCACAAGGCAAAGTGATGATTGTCCTTTGTTGCATGAGTTTATTTTTTCCTGCTCTGCTTCAGTACAACAAATGTGTCTTTTGAATTTAACAACACTTGGGAAAAAATAAAAAAATCTGCTAAAATACAGCATGCTGCAGACTGGATATCTATTTTTGTAACGTACAATTTTACAGCAATCATACAATAATAATAATCTTGGTAATTTAGCAATCACAGTGTTTTACGAGTCTCATGATGGTCAAGATGTTTGTTGGCACGTGTTTTTGTTAGAAAATTTTAATTTATTATTGAAGTAATTTATTAAACAAAAATATCAAACAGTGATTTGTTCCAGCTACTCTACTGTGATTTGCTGTTTTTCTCATTTTTATATGTAATGATTTTGTCTGTTAACCACAGACTTGTGTAAAAGAAGTGGATGTAGCCAACGTCGTCATGACGTCAGGCATTGGTTTGTCGACTACTTTTCTGAAGCCTCGAGTTTGGCATTTTGGCTGTTCCCATCTTGTTTTTTGGAACCAGATGTGACCATGTTTGAATGAGAGGGTGGCGCTAGCTAGCTTGGTTAGCAAGGTGCATCCGTAATTCACTTTAACTGTTGTTTTTATCTAGCGAAAAACAGGCTGAACGAGCCAATTTACAGTTTAAACTTTCATAAAGTGTGAAAACACACTGTGAAAGGGTCAAAGCTTTGAGATGAGAAAAAGACATTCACGAAGTAGCTCCGCCCTAAAGCCTCCCCTGCTTTCTGGTCTATTTTCCTCTAAATTGCACTATAATTTACTAAATGAACATCATGCTGTGTTGAAGAAGACTTGAAATTAGCTGTTTTGAACATAAACATATTAGCAAAGTGTTTAGTGAGGTAATAAATCAGCTGAGAAGTAACCTCATTTTATCAAAGACTCCAAAACAATCGCCCCCTGCTGGCCTTTAGAAAGAATGCAGGTTTTAGGCACTTGAGCAGTGGCTTCACTATTCAGACCCGGAGGTTCCCGCTTGGTGTTAAGGTGATGGACGGACAAAATGAACCATGCTGGATGATAGGAGGCTGTGATCGGCGTTTTGATACTATCTTCTGGTAGTTTACCAACTTAGTAATTAATGAATTAATTAAAGTAATAATTGAGCAATTAAAAAAAAAATGAAAATAATCATTAATTGCAGCCCTATTACTTTATGTGTAAGCTAACAATTCAGCAACAGGATCTTTAGAAGCTGATGTCTTCAGATATCTTGTGTTGTCCGATCATCAGTCCAAAACCTAAAGATAATAACTATTACATAAAGAGAAAAGCAGCAAATCATCTGGTTTTTTTTTTTGACAAGATGTGACTGTTTTTTTGTTTCATAAATGTCTTAAATGCAAAGTGAATTATCAAAATTGTTATTGATTGATAGACGTGTGTGTGTGTGTGTGTGTGTCATCATGATCAGTGTGTCTAAAGTTGATTTCCTTTTGTTTAATTACTCCTAATTGTTTTCACTCTTTCTCAGCAATCAAGACAACTATCAGTTGGTGCGTAAATTGGGTAGAGGGAAGTACAGTGAAGTATTTGAGGCCATAAATGTGACCAACAATGAGAAAGTGGTGGTGAAAATCCTCAAGGTGAGCCGCATACTTCTTTTGTTGCTTTGTTCCTTTGTCATGTGAGCTTTTCTCCACCTGACGTCTGCTGTTATCAGTGGACGTCTCCGCTTCCCGACTAACTTTTTGCATTGCTTGCACTGTTGCCCCTTACATTTTTCACAGCACCTTTAGCGCTATAACAGTATATTCTCACCTTCCCCATACACATTCATAGTAAATGGTCGTAAACAGGAACACCTACAGGTAAATGTTAATTGAATCGCAGCACAAACAAAAAAAATGACCAAAACTTCGTTATTGTCAAACAAAACTTACAAAGTGCTGATATTTAAATTGCTTGACAAACTGTAAACCGCAAAAACTGGAAGCTCCAAAATGCTCCGAGCTTTGAAGCCAGTTTTACTTGAGGCCAAACAAGCCGCTGTAAAAACGGTGGATACTTTCTGTTGATCCGTTCAGTCGATAACATTTGAAAAGTCTAGAAGAGCCAAAGAATTATTATTTTAACCCCATTTCAAGTTAAAGCAGGGCTAAACAGTAAGTTAGCCGCCAAGTCAACACAGTGGAACATAGAAACCTGTTCTCAAATTGGTCACACTGGAGCCCTGCTCACGGAGATGATCTACAGATGTAAAGTCTGTGTTGAGAAGTGGTTGAAGTGGATGCGTTAACTCTGTTATTAGGTTTCGCGCCAAGATTATCTCAGCAGATGTCTCCGCCGGTCAAGTCCCACACAGTTTTAGAAAAGTTATAGTTGTCTTTCAAATAATTTGATTAGGCCACTTGAGTGCAAGAAAGTTTCAAAGCATTTTTAGTCACCTTTTTTGAACCATGGTGTCTCTGCCGGTATCTGACAATAACTGTCTTGCCAGTTTATTAGTTCCACGTAGTTTAGATTAATGCAGGCTAATCCACCAGCACTGCAATAAATCCTACTTTCATGAAGGTGATAATGTTTGAGAAATGTTTTGATTTTTGTGTTTTGTTATGCTGAAAAGTGTGTGTAGGCATCAGAAGATTGATTCTCCCTGCAGTATCGTATCACATTTCTCTGTTTATTTTAGTTATACTGAATGTGTGACCACTCCTTTTCTTTCGCAGCCCGTCAAGAAGAAGAAGATCAAACGTGAAATTAAAATTCTTGAAAACCTGCGAGGGGGAACCAACATCATCCGCCTCGTCGACACGGTCAAAGACCCGGTGGTGAGTTAGATTCCTGCCGTCACTTTGCTGCACCTCGGCACGCCAGCAGCGGTAATCCAGCCATGCGTGTAACTCTGTGTGTGTCCATGCAGTGATAATGATCTTCACCTACCTGCTGTTCTCCTCAGTTAAGCCTTGTGTTGTCCTCTCTTTGCAGTCCAGAACACCAGCGCTTGTCTTTGAGTGCATCAATAACACAGATTTTAAGGTACTTAAGTTTGGCCGACATCATACATGCTGAACTACCAGCACAGTTGCCATCCATGCAAAGTCATTGATATCCATTATTAATAACACGCATAACACTCAAGTTAATGTTGTACATGTGTTGTGCTGGTTTTTTGTAAACATTTTATTTTATATGTGGATGTTTTCATGCTGTGCCACAGGAGCTTTACCAGAAGCTGACAGACTATGATATCCGTTACTACATGTATGAGCTGCTCAAGGTAAAAACTACTTCTTCACGTCACCACTAATTTATGTCAAGTTATTTTTTATTTTTTTAATATGATTATTCGCCACAACGTTACGGTGCCAGACCTACTGTGAACGTGACAATTAAATGTGTAGGGCGTGATTGTTTTGAGGCGTTGACAGGAAGCAGAGTGATGTGTGATAGACAGGAAATCTTCCCACACGTCCTGGAAAACGATCAATTTCTCATAATTTCTGTGCATATCTTTTAACATTTATCCTTTAAAACATACTGGTCGTTATTTAATAGCTACTAGTAATTATTTATTAGTTAATAATAACTTTTCCCATTTTACTTACTAGTACTTAATTACTTAGTTACTAATCACTAACTGCACGTTTTTGCCATTGAAATAAATGAGTCTCTGCAGTTCAGATAACGCCTATTCATTAGCGCTTATTTTTTATTCACCAGTAACTATTCCATTAGTTAACAGTTAAAATCTTACTATCAACAAGCCATTTTACTAGTCATTAATGAAAGACCAGTAACTATTCAATTAGTTACCAGTAGCTAGTATCTAATCAATTGTTACTAGTAAAACAGGAATAGATACTAGCTAATTGAATAGTTACTAGTAAGTTATAAGGAATAAATGTTAGAAGAGCTTGCCATACTATGCGTGATTTCACAGATAAGTTATAGCCATAGACTGCACGTCTTTAAAATCAGACTTCCACAGAGAGGAACATGTTAGTGTATAGATTTTTTTCCTTCGCATCAGTGTTATTTGAAAAGGGATGGGGATCATTAATTTTTATTGATATTGACGCCATTATTGAGACTGCTTAACGTTTGAGTCTTTATCGAAACCACTATCGATATTTTACTATTATTTGGTGACGGTTATTTGGTAAGACCAGAGCCAGCGGGGCATGAGGTAGGCCTGCACGGTATGAGGGGAAATATTCAATGTGCGATAACATTGTTATATATTGAGATGACACATGACTTGCGTGTGCATATTAGCTGCCTGGTTGTTTTTTAATTAATTATGGGATTAGACTTTAATATTTTAAATACAAATAAATGTTGTTTCTAGAGCAGTCACTATATATAAACTCAATATCTACAATATCCCTACAATTGAACATCTTTCAGTTTTGGACTTTGGGGGGGAAAAAGGAATTTAAAGATCAAATAAAAAAAAAACAATCAATGGATTAATCGAAAATGTAATCTGTGGACGTTGTTTCCTCGTTGGCTGCGTGAGTCCTGACATGTCAGTCCAGAACAGACGATGGTTACAGACCGGTTGCAGTGTTGAACATGTCTCTGTCTCCTCCTTTAAGGCTCTGGACTACTGTCACAGTATGGGGATCATGCACAGGGACGTGAAGCCCCACAATGTGATGATCGACCACCAGCTGAGAAAGGTACTGCTGGTGACCTCATCAAGTGTTTCCCATCACATGAATCAGGAATTACACCCTACGATAAAGATTAAGAATTGTGCCTTAATCAAGATTTGAGCTCAGAACCCACAAAATGCCAAATAACCGTAACATAATGAAGAGAGCCTAAGCCCCTCCTCATCCAGTGGACCTTATTTCAGAAAAAGTATATACAGCAGTCAACAGCAAGAGACAACAAATTTTATACGTCCTGTCTGAACTGTGCCCTGAATTACACACATGATATATATCAACTGAAAAATATAACTTTGTCTGTCAAGTTATGGTCCCAGTTTGTCGTAAAACAGTAAAGTAACATTTCTTTTTGTGTGAAACCGCTGAGTGAACTACATCTCATATGTCACCAACATGTTAGCGCTGTAATCCTAAGCTAACGTGCTTTGCTTGCTTGCTACTAGATGGGTAACTTAGCTATGTTCCACCATAGACAGTATATTACTGGACGAAGCCACCCCGCGGGTTTGAATGGAGAGCAGTGAAGCCAGTTTTGGTCCTGTGAAATACTACTACAGGGCTACTTCCTGTCTACTGCACATGATCGCGCAGCATAACTGTGGTTTAATGACATAGAACAGCAGAAACACAGTAATTCTGGTAGCTGCGCCAACAAAAAGTCTCTTGGCTCAGTGTGTTTGTCTGACTCGGATCGTCACTGTTTAATCAAGCTTCATCAAGCTGGTTTTATTATTGTCTCTTGGGTATTATTGTCTTTACACTTGTTAAAGCACTTTGTAACTTGTTTTTGAAAAGTGCTCTACAAATAAAGATTATTATAATCAGCCCACCTACGAATAGGGCTGGGTATCGAGTTCAGTACTTTCTAGGCACCGACCGAATTGCCTCAATACCATCGAGTATCAAAAAATGTCTTGTTATGTCAATGAGCCAATAAGCATGCAGCGTGCTTGATGTGCCCAAATCTAAAAGTGAGTGTAATTGGCTGTGGTGATGTAAACACTAGTTCACGCCGGTTACGCACAGAGACTTGGCTCATGGATGTAAAAGACGTGGAGAAGATCAAAAGTGTGGCTACATTGCACCAGGCTTAATGCAACAGCATGCGATGCAATATTTGCGACCTAAGATAATTGCTGCCAAGAGCGGCGACATGACAATCCTGGTGAAGCCCTTGACTGTGCATGGAATAAACTTAAGAGCAGAAAGTTGCTCCGTCTTTGACTGAAACAAGACAAGAGTCATCGTCATGTTTAAGTTGACATTTACAAGAAATATATTACTGCTACTGTGTAAAGGGAATACTGGGGAATATGGGAAGCTTTGGCTAATGCACAGTATTTAACAAAGAAAGTCTCTCCCGACTTTTTAACTAATAGCATAATTATAAGAGCAGCGAGGAGTAGAGTTTTTCTAAACATACGACGTTGCTTAACGCCAATCTCCCTCTACGAGACCAAGCATCACTGGCAGCAGCGGCCGCAGTTTCTTTCTGTAAGTTTCACGTTGCTGTGCTGCTTCAGCAGATGCTTCAATAGATTAGATGTAGAAAGTTTTCGTGACTGAAAGCTTGTTGTTGGTCGCACAAAGTTTACAGCGGACGACAATGTTCTTTGCATCACAATAAGGACGCATTCATGGCAGTACTTTGAGCTGTCGAAAGAACGCCTCCCTCCCTCGTTCTCAATTCTTCCTTCAGCAATTTGGCTCGTACTTGAGATTTTAACGACAAACGGCGACTTGCAGAATTATCAAAATTGGATGAACAGTTCTCGACATAATCGAAATACAGACACACGCACAGATTCCTGCCTTTATTAGAGCGATCAGCTGGTTTCAGTTCATCAACTTCTCAGACAATCCATGATAATGAAGTAATGATTAAAAGAAATCTTCAGCTTCCTGAGAACTAAGTCTTCGTTATCTTTGTGTAACGTATGTCGTAAATCACACATGCATGACGGTAATGCACATGTTTAAACGTGCTAATTCTCCTTTTAAGTGATAACAAATGTTCTAGGTGTTAATCCAGACAGATTAATGAGTATTTCTCTCCTGTGTCACAGCTGCGTCTTATAGATTGGGGTTTGGCAGAATTTTACCATCCCGCTCAGGAATACAACGTCAGGGTGGCCTCCCGTTATTTCAAAGGCCCTGAGCTGCTCGTGGACTATCAGGTATTTATTTGGTTGGACCTCTGTTGAGGATTTGTTATAGCACAGTCGTCTTTTAACTAGTTTTTGATCGTGTGATTTACTCTTTGTTCCCAGATGTATGACTATAGTTTGGACATGTGGAGTCTAGGCTGCATGTTGGCCAGCATGATCTTTCTGAAGGAACCGTTTTTTCATGGCCAGGACAACTACGACCAGGTAAAGCGCCAGATAAAGATCCTGCAAAAACTTGTAATGCCACGTCCTGCTGAAATCAGGAACATACAGATTGGGACAGATTTATTTTCCTGGACCCCGTTATACATTGGAAGCACGATAAAGATCATAGGCAGTATGTAACTGATGTATTAAATGTGCACGTGTCTTGTTTCCAGCTGGTCCGCATTGCTAAGGTTCTCGGCACCGATGAGCTCTTCGGCTACCTGCACAAATATCACATAGAACTGGACACTCGCTTCAAAGACCTGCTGGGACAGTGAGTATCTGCAGAGGAAGGTCAAGTGATATCAGTTTTGTTCTGAATTGATTATTCAAAGTTAACAGTTAATCAGCAGAAACTCATTCAGATGCACTCAGAACACCTGAAACTGAGATGTGCTGTCCGACTGAAGAGATGTTAATGATTCAGGAACAACAGAACTTTCTGTTGAGTTGCACGTTTTGTTTGAGCCATGAGGAACCTGTTGTTAAACGCTGCGTAACAAACTGACTTCATCAAGCTGGTTAACTGGTACAAGGTTGTATAACAAAACTAAAGTTTGTTGTCCCTTCAGAACTTAACTGTAAAATATGGTAAGAAATAAAGTACAAAGTCATTTATATATTGGCCTACATGTTTACACCCAGAACTTTCTGCCGTGCATTTTTTTAAATTTGCGTCTTGGGAGAATGTAAACAGCAGTAACAAAATAATAAAAAGCTTTCATCTTCACATTAAAAACTCTGACGTTTAGGGAAACAGAGTCCATCTTGACTGTGTTTGAGGACCAAGCATCATCGATGTAAGTCCACCTCCTCTCATCTTGTTGGAGTCTTGCGCTGAAAGCTCAGAACATGGCCCACCCGCCGAGTGCTTGATGGTGCAGGTTTCTGTAACGATGTTGGCACAACAGTTTCTGATTTCCGTTGCTTTGTCCAGACCCGACCTTCAGGAGCCACCTTAAGTCGAAGCTGGGCCAACGTGTCTCCTATCCAGAGTGATCACGGCACCGTCATGATAGGCTATCTGGTCCGGTTGATCTGGCGGGTGGATCGTCTTAGGTCCGCTGCTCTTTGATCCAAAACCATGTCTTCGTTTTCCAATGACTGTATTTTTGTCTGAGGTAAACAAAAGTGTAGTGAAGTTTGAAGGAGCTGCCGGCTGCTGCTTCTACACGCACAAGCTCGAACCTCCGGGCCCGAAAAGTGAAGCCAATGCTGATGTGACTTATACCTGAATTCCTTGTAACGGCCAGCAGTGGGCGACTCCACTGGAGTCTGAGATAACGAGGCACATGCAGAAGAGTGTGTCACACACACCTTTTCTGTTTTTTTAAATCCCACACTTTTTGCGGTTATGTAATCGCACATGACGACGTTGCGATTAGATTAATTGCGCAGCCCTAATTGTCAAATGTTAGTTCTCTAATCTCGATCAAGCGGCAGCTGGGAAGCTGTGTCTGAAAGTGGAACCATGCAGACGGAACTTAAACCTGCATTGTCTCTAACGGGGCGAGTCTGCTGGTTGCAAAAAAAAAAGTCCGGTTCCATTAGAATTAGAGAGGCTACTTCTCAACTGATTAATTACCATTAATAAACACTTTCCTAATGGGTTTATGGTCTCAGTCGCTAGTTTCAAGTCTTCAACACAGCATGATGTTCATTTTGTAAATTATGGTCCCATCTAGAGGAAAATACACAATTTCACGTCACTACCACGACATGTCAATCAGGATGGAGGCGAATAGTATCTACTGCGCATGTAACGACTTGCGAGCTGTAAAACCAAAACGAGCTGAAAGATGCTAAATAGCTCTGAAGCACTGCGGAGTTTGTTGATAATTCTTGTGGGTTTGTCACTATCACCAACTCCTTCCACATTGCATAGTTGTTTGATCAATTGTTAATATAAAAATAAGGATTTGTACGTCTTTAAATCATAAATCTATTGTTTTGTTAAAACATGATGCTTATGTTAAATTTTAAATGTTTGTTTCGTAGAACAACATTTTATTTTGCTCAAAGTGGGGTATTGAAGAAATATTGTTTTGCAATTGGTACCAAAGATCAGATATGACTGTATTAGCATGTTTAATGAAAATACCCCTGAGCAACACCCAGCAGCTCTGTCACTAACTCTGTTTCACCGAGGGAAGATGTTTTTTTACCATGTTTTTTCTTTTAGCATTTTAACTCACAGGTGTAAATGATGACAGTAATGACGGCTGAATTCCATTTAGCTATTTCAGTTTCAGGGTCCTGGGGTTGTGTATGTTGACTCATGGCTTACTGGGACACTTGCATACAACACCTGGGCTTTTTCTTATTGCTTTAGTAAATTGTCTGTGATGTTATGTGCCGGAATTCATGAGCAGCTGATTGCAGGAATATTATTCTCGTGTCCAAACTGGATTCACTGTCAGATCGTCACCATGCTCGTATAATTCACATTAAAGAAGGGTAAGTGTTCAGGGCAGTCACATTAAATGTTTTGTCGTTTGTATCCAGGCAAGCACGGAAGCGTTGGGAGCAATTCATCCAGTCAGAGAACCAGCACCTGGTGAGTCCGGAGGCTCTGGACCTGCTGGACAAGCTGCTGCGCTACGACCACCAGCAGAGGCTGACGGCAGTTGAGGCCATGCAGCACCCATACTTCTGTTAGTACCACCTGCCCACTGCCTGCCTGTCACAAGCACTGCGAACATGGAAAGCTAACAGCAATGAGGACTAACTTAATAAATTGTGTGAAATGCTCCATGAATAGTGAAAGCAAAAAGTTAAACTGTGTTTTCTTACTACTGCAACCAGTTTATTACAGATTATTGTGTAATCAGTGGCCAATTTATACTCCCAATAATAACATACGGCGTCAAATTCACGCTGTAGCCTGACGTGCAGCCCTCAAAAAATTTAATATCCTCCTAGCCCCCCAGGAAGGGCTCCGTGCTTTGAAGCCAGTTTTACTAGTGACAAAACAAGCGGTTGTAAAATGGTGGATACTTTCTTTTGAGCGTCACAAACCCTCACAAAATGACTTGTTTCACTATCAGAACTTGAACCATTCAGTCGATAACATTTGGAAAGAATAGAAGAGCTGCACTATTATTATTTTTCCTAACCCGTTCAAGTTAGCAGAGGGCTAAACCTGAAGGTAGGGCTAAACCTGAAGGTAGTCGGCAAGTCAACCCAATGGAACGAAGAAACCCCATCTCCAGCTAGCGTGTTGTCCTGTAATTGGAGTGTGACACAGACACCAATGCAAGTATAAATGCAAGGATACGCCGTAGGTATCAGTGCAGTCTGAACGCAGGAGTATAAATCTTAAAAAAAAGCATCCATAAATTGTAGCAGGTTTTACCATTTTGGCTGCCAAGGTAATGATTTTCTAAACATTTTGTTTTATAGGTGTGAATTTTAGTAAATTAACTTGAACATTCTTGGTATGAAAGGAAAAGCACCTCATTGAACTGATATGTGTCAGAGTGTCTGTAAGGAATCACCTTTCAGTAGTGTTGTTGTCAAGACCGCCCAAGCTGAGACCAAGTCAAGACCAAGACCAGAGTTTATCAAGACTGAGACAAGACCAAGACTTTTAGGGGCTGAGAGCAGTCGAGACCAAGACCAAGGGAGGGCGAGACTGAGTCAAGACCAAGACCAGTTCCCCACATTATATGACACACAATAAAAATGTGGAACGAGATCACAGGTGCTTCTCAGATTGATCAGAAAGATCCACATACAAACACTAAGAGCTGAAATCAACGTAAGCATCTTTGTTTAACGCTCCTTTTGCATGCTGACCATCGCGGGGACAGTCATTAACGGTAACAACACATTTTTAATTAGGGTTATTGGTTGAATTTGAAGCAATACGTTTTATATCCAATCAAAGTTCAGACGATAACAAATAAATCAGACAATGCAAAAGCAATTTATTGACATTCCCAAATTTATGGTCTTGACTGGTCTTGAAATAAAATCCTGAGTCCTTAATGTCTGAGGCAGAGTACAAATGCGGTCGAGTCCGAGACGAGACCAAGACCGGTCTCGAGTACTACAACACTACCTTTCAGTATTGACAACGTGACATGTAGATTTAAATGAGATGCGATTAAAGCCTGGTGCACGCTGGACGCTTTTCAAATCTTAACCACATTCAAAAACATGGGATACCACAGAAATGACAGATTTTTTTTATATTGTAATCTTAAGAACACACACAGCGACAATTCAGTAAAGACGCATGACCACACACTCAGCTGTCCCGGGGATTTTGGGATCTTACAGAAACTTAAGATAATAATCAACACTGAAGACATAAACAAACACGGAGGTAGTCTGTCGATGTCGGCTGGTTGACTTTGTTTGTGCTGTATTTTGTACAGAAAAACTGGAAAGGGGAATAAAACTGTGGATGAACTTGAGGCTGAGAAAAGGGAATCAGCAGGTTTAAACATTTTATAGAAAAAGCAGATACACAAACACGCTGGAGACTCTTCCCGATCAGCTCGCTCTCCTTGGCTGTTTATATTTATGATTTAATGTGGCCCAATTATCCCCTAGTGTGCCGTCAGCATAATACTGTCATACTGGACCGCCCTCACAAGCTAGATTATTATAACCAACACCTTTGTTATGAAAAGTGCTGCATAAATAGAAAACTTTGAAAACACACACTTGAATTAAAAATAGTTGTTTCATTACCAGGACAAGACATTCCTGAATATGTTTTTATATATTATTTAATCACCCGAGACCTCGAGTTTGTCAGATTAAGTGTGTCTTTTGTCCCTCAGATCCTGTGGTGAAGGAACACGCCAATACAGACGGCACAAAGGCCATAAGCAGCTCCAATGCAACATGATAACCAGAGAGCAGGTAATATAGACACAGCATGCACCTTTATATTTATTTATTTATTTATATAGATAATTTTTCAAGCAAAAATGCCAAACTCAAGTCTCTCGTTCCATCTTAAATGTGAGGATTTGCTGTTACACTCAGTTGATTAGGTACATCTAGCTAAAACTAAGGCTACATCCAGACTACTACGTTTTTGTTTGTGAAAAAACATGATCACCGTACACACAGCGTTGTAAACAGGAAACAGATTGTCAACTTTGAAGTTGCAGAAGATTATGCAAAAGAAGAAAGTACTACTAGAGACGAACGAAGAACCACACCAGAGATTTTTGTGCATGAACCGACAACAAGGTGGAACTGTTACAGAAAGTAACACAGGAGCAGTGGCAGCTTCTTTCAAATCTCTCAGGGGGGGGCAATTGTTGCGATGATGGAAAGATGACCAGTTCAATGGTTTTAGTCTGCTATAAGACACAATTGTTCTTAGGCTACATACTGTACAGTATTTGTGAAAAGCTACATCCTGACGTTCATTGTCAATGTCTACGATGAATGAACAGTCCAGAGTGAAGATCAACAGATCTACTTTAGCAATAATGGAAAAAAGAATGACTCTCACAATCATCTGATTTTAGCTGTGCCAAACTTTTATTTAGGCACAACAAAATAATAAATTGCCGTGGCACTGGGCTGATAATGTGCAATCTTGCATTGAGGCTAAGGGACCTGTCTCAGTAACAGGCTGCATAATGTCACATATACTGTATATGAAGGTGGGTGAAACATAGCTATTCTTAAATGTTTAATTGGGTACAGATGAACCTAGTATTTATTTTCATTCTTTACATTAGACAAGACTAAAAAGATAAGCAGAGAGTTGTAAAAAAAATCTTGAATGTTCTCCACTTGTTATCCTGTAGTTACACAGTAATATTAGAAGTGTGGGCTGTATTAAAAGTATCCAGTGTTCTCCAGTGCTCTATAATCACACAGTAACAACGAGCTATGTGCTGTTCTCCCATTCTCACTCTGTATTTACACATAAACATCAAGGCGTGTATGGGAACTATAAAAGGTATTTTTATTCTATTGTTTTTGGTTTATTTTCTGTGTTGCTTTCCTACTTCACCTTCTTCTTCATTTTATCTCCTCTGACCAAGATGCCAGTGATGGTCACATCATGCTACTTTCTCTTACTTCTGTGGTTTCTGGCAGAAAAAACAAAAACACATAAAATAATTTTGACTGGTTAAGTAAAGTTAACTTTAAATTGATTCCACTTCCACACATAAAACCTGGCTTAATAACATCACATTTAACATAAGCATAAAATTCATCTTAATAATCCAAATTTTTTATTTTTTATTTTTTTTATTACAGTTATTAGCTTAGCCTATGGCATTTTACACAGCATAAATTAGCCTAGTGGCTAGCTGACTTTTCCTCTCCTCATAGCTTAACAAATTACATGCATTATTTACACTGGGTCTTACTCAGCGCTGGTAAAAGCACTGCATCTCCCAACACGACACCACGGTTGAATTTTCAGCCTGAGTGTTCTTTTTGTTGAAACAGCAGCTGATAGTAGTGAGAGCAACAAGCTGTTGGACTGCTGGCGTTTTCAGGTGGCAGAAGCGTAGCTCTGCTGCTTGGCACATGTAATCATTACGTCAACATGTAAGTGCCTCCCCCCCGGAACCCAGAAAGATTGCATTGCAGTGCCCGCAGTTCGAAAAACCAGACTGAAATCGCCCCAAAAGAGGCGGGAATCCGATATTCAGAGTTCAAACTGAGGCAAACTGCCTCTCAGAAACAGTCACAGCTAACTAACAGTGTGGTAGAAAGCCTCATTAGCGTTGTGTTTTTTCCTAGCATGACTGATAAGAAGATCAGGAAACCAAATGTGAGCGTCTGCGTCAGCTTTTTCAATGTCCTCCATTTCCTGTGTCCTGTCCGCACTAAAACGCTACTCTGGAGTTTTTAAAATGAAAACGGGGTCAGCAGCGTTTTCAAACTTGTCCGTTTTAGTCTGGACGGAAGGTGCAAACTAGGGATGAACCGATACTTCAGTACCAAGTCGTTCTGATAACATGCAGGTGCTTCTTTTGCTAGATACCAAAGGTACCAAGATCACACGATAGCGACAAGTGCAGCTGCAGCAGCTCCGCCTCAACACGTCGAAAAGAGATGGAAACCGGGTGATTTCTCACAGTTAGAGAGCTGATTTTTATTTAGGCAGATGTTTCACAATGTAGATCAACTCAAAACCTCCAAAGATGACGACGCAGTTTGCAGCTCTAAGAACTGAATGTCTGTCCAACGTACCCGTTACTGTAGACGGAGTCGGGGACCATCTCAAAAGTGCAATACGATCCATTTTAATCAATAACTTTTTTGATTTTCAACATAAAAATCTCAGACAACTGCCAATATTGATTGAACCACCCTTAAACATTTCACAACTATGAGATTATAAAGAAATGTTCGTGTAAATGAAATAATTATTTTATTAATTAACTCTGCACAGTGTCGGGTTGTAAATTCAACATTCATTTATAAATATATTGACACCAGACCACGTCTCATCTGTCCTGGACATCCCCTCTCAACTTCCCAGCTGTTAGTTATCGTTTGTAATGTTTTTTACCGTGGTATCAAATTGGTATCGAATCATGGAAGTTCACTGGTATCTGTATCAACTTATAAATTTATGGTATCGTGACATCCCCTAGTGCAAACGTAGGAAACGTGCTGCGTTTAAATGTAGTAGTGTGGATGTAGCAGTAACAGTCCTTTAATAAATCCTCCCTTCATGAAGCTCATAACGTTCATTCAAATTTGTTAGAGGTGTTGATTCCACTGTTTGACGTAGGAGGCTTCAGTTTGTGCTGCTGTTCAGTTGTATTGATTGTTATTTATGTGCATTTGTGTTCATGAGGATTAAGTAAATAACAGAAGCGATCAATCATAAAGTCTAGCAGATGAGTCAGTATTTGACTTGTGATTGTTCCGTTTTCGTCCAATCAGGAAGAATCTTTGTTACCTCAACTTGTGACCTTTTCGTGGCAGAAACCTCTGCCTCCACACCAACAGCCATACTGGAGCAAGATGTCAACTTTGCAGCATACACAAACACGCACGGATTAAACTTCTCCCAACAAAGCCCGGGGAATCTGCGCTGCTTGGTCCGTGTCACAAAAAATCAGATCTGAAATCAGATCTGACTCTCCACCTCCTCCTCTTCCTCTTCCTCCTCCTGCCTACCAACACTCCTCTCAACCTGTTTTTAAAAAAGTGACTGTTGTTGGATCAGTATCAAGCCGGTGTTGTGCTGTAAAGACGTCATTACGATGCTGTGGTGACCAGAGATTCAGTTCCAGGTTTTAGCACTGAGTGGCATGGAGGCTCTTTTCTGCTATGGATAGAACAAAAGCTATATTGAAAGAGAATAAACCGTTTTTATTTAAAGATGTGTTGGACTTTTATTGCCTCAGGAGCAACCAGGTGAAACAGTGGTGGAATGAAGTGGTCGACCGATAAGGGTTTTTTCAGTGTCCGATGCCGATATTTAGAAAGCAGGACGGCCGATAGACAATGTCAAAACAAAGAAAAGTCATGTATAATTTCATTATTCCATGCAGAGTACAACTTACATGTCACAGCCAGAAACATGTTGGTTTAGATGTAAGCTTTATTAATGAATAAAATAGAAACACATTGGCTTCTGCTGTGGCTTTCAGATCATGGCTGGTGTTTAAGGGAGAGCGGGCTGCAGTTTGTCAGAAGTGTATTATTCTCTACAGCACTGGTTCCCAAACGTTTTCTGCTCAAGACCCAAACGAGACATCTGGTGTCTCCTTGGGACCCAAATTTACAAAAATACATCTACAAACTAAGATAAAGGGCCAAACAAACCATGTATCCCCTCCCATCATCACAAACATCTCTTTACATGACCTGAATTTAATGACAAGTATGTGGCCTGTTGAAGATTTCAACCAGCTGATCTATAGTCTAGGCTCAGTTTTTTTTGAAAGTACCATTCTGAGGTAATTTACCTTGGCGACCCAGTTAAAATGGGCCTTAGTTTGGGAAACATGGCTCTACAGTATAACCATAAGTAAGTCTTTACATCTATAACCTATGTGTCACGTTGTAACACGCGGCTAGTGTGGCACACCTAAATATGAAATTAAAATCACACTAGTTACTCTCCAGGCAGTCAGTGGACATAAAGTTGTTACTGTGATATAGAGACAGGGCTCAGTTTAAACATTTCGTATGAAAGATAAATGTGTTAAAGATTAAAACTCACCACTCTGAAACTCTTGCTCCAGTCTAGGTTGTGATGCTGGTTCGGGATCAGACTCGGACTCAAACATGTACGGCTGAACCGCAGCCGGGGTTACAAGCTGAAGCGGCTTTGTTTTGGAGTAGAAGTGAGATGCAGTAGCTAAACTGAGCGTTAAAAACGCAGGGTGAAGAGAGATGCTGCAGCAATGTGCAGTATGACAAAAATTATGGTGTTTTGTGAAAATTAAACCATGTAAACCTGTTGTGGTACAACTCCTAAATAAAATAATGAACCTGAAAATTTGCATAATATGACGTCTTTAAGGTAAATGAATGTAAGAGAATGTATTTTTATTTGGTTAATCCATCCATCCAGTTTATGAGGCTTATTTAGGTCCAGGTTGATTTAATTGATTATATCATTAGAAATTATTTTTATACACTGCTGGTATAAATACAGATAACAATTTTATATAATAATAAATCATACTCGTGATACAGGTTTTACATTCTGTGGTATTAAAATGTGTAACTGAAACCTCCAGAAAACCTGTAATCCTTAACCTTTTTTCCCCCAGAATAAAAGTAGTTTGTCCTTCAGATTTAATCATGAAATACATTTAATCTTGAAATATTAAACACCAACTTGTGTTTAGGTCTGTTTAAAATAAAAAAAATCCACAAAGTCATAAGCATCTGCTTGTTTCCCACTTCTTCTGCACCAAGATGGGAAAAATTACATTCTGTATAAAGGTTTTAGGTTGCATTTGTGTTTACACGAGTGTTTCGCAGGCTCCAGTACGCCAGATCAGTGTTGTGCCCCGATCCTGGCCTTACTAAACGGATTGGTAATCCGCCATGACTTAACTGATAAATATGAAACACTGTTCTTTTGTCAAGGTCATTATAAAGTTCAGTGTTTCTGCTACCAGTCATATATAGATTTTAAGTGTTTGGGGCAAAAACACGGGTATAGAGCTCAACAGTGAGGCTCCTGAAGTAAAATTCCCATTAATCTGTTTTGGGATTTTGATTATGCGCCATGATTCTTTAACCGTCCGATGTAGACAACACAAAATACAATATATCCACAATCTAAACACTATGAGTAGGATTCAATTCAAGGAGAAGCGTGCCAACTTATCATTAGCTTGGAAGTCCTTGGAAAAGGTATCATTCGTAATGTTAAATAATTATGTACACAGCCTTTTTTTTCCTCAGAATCAAATATTTTATGGTCATGACTAGTATCGTAGTTTGTTGGATTGGTTCAGAGCTTAAAACTCTTTGTAACTCGCCTGCCTTTGGTGTGAGACACCCGGGTTCAATCCTCCCCACTGACACTTAACCCCAAGCAGCTCCAGAGGCGTGCGACCTCTGACATAATTAGCAATTTAAGTCGCTTTGGATAAAAGCATCAGCTAAGTGAATAAATTTAATGTAAGGGGTTTTGGAAAAGTCAATTGATTCAATAAATGGGGAATTTAATTCCAGAACTGGAGCTGTGAAAAGAGTGTGCGTACACTTTTGCGCTCTGTTGGCTTGTATCTGTAGATACTCAGACTTGAGGTATTGGTATCGGGAAAGAAAAAGTACTCAGCCTCGGTCAGTGTCAACATTACGATAATTTCTGCTTAATTATCTTACCTGGCCCATTGAACCATTTACAACACGCTTACATGGATAAATCCACTGTGAAGTAAAATGTTGAAGCTCATTGAAAATTAATCTGGAACTGTTGGCACAGCAGCAGGAGCTTAAACCAGAGTTTGTAGCGTGGACAATCTGGATTTACTGATTTTCTGTTGTAAGTGTTAGAGTCCCTAAATAAAAAAAAAAAACAAAAGGATAGAGTGGGAGATGGGGAATCAAAGGAGTAAAATAAGCAAAGGTGACCTGCCTGTTTTTATTTTCTATTTAACTTTTAAAACTTTTTCATATTTCCCTATGTTGCTTTTATGTTTTATGTAAAGCACTTTGAATAACCTTGTTGTTGAAATGTGCTATACAAATTAACTTGCCTTGCCTTCAAACCTGCAAAGGTGCATCGAGGCTGAACCCCAAACAGGAAGTGGTTTTTATATACAAACGTTTTCTTTGGTTTACAATGAAAGAGTAAATATGATTTATGCAGGTAATTGTAAAATCACTGGGATCAGTTGGTAAATAAATGTTTGTAAACAAAAAAAATGCAGTTTGAGATACTGTGAGCAAAAAATAAATAAACTCCGCTCTGAACATTTAATTTGACATTAAAATGGGAATAAAACTTAAATTACTAACTGAAGAACTCGCTTTGTTTAAAATTGTTAATGCAAAGAAAATTATTTTTTAAACGAGTCCTTGCATTGATTTCAAAATAAGAGCGCACGGTTATTCAAGATAAAGTCATCCAGGATTAATAAATCAAATCCTTACAAATCGAGATCACAAAGTGTGTGTGTGTGTACTTTTTAATAAATAAACCGGAAATTCAAGGTGTTTTTCCAGAACATAAAACACTTGTGCAACATTCGTGCGTTACAAACACATTTGCATTCATTTAGTCAAATCCAGGCCGAGGTCAGCAGACGACAGCCTGCTCCAGTTTAACACGTGTCTGCTTACCGAACGGCTGAGGTTGTAAACACAGCAGAATACATTTCAATTACAGGGCAATCTTTAAATCCAAGTATTTAAAATGCATCACAGAAGTATAATTCACATTTTGGTCAAGTGTTAAAAACTGGGACTACTGATGACCTTTTTGTTGTGGCCTGGTTTTAATTCTGCTCGCAGACGGCCCAAAATGAATGCCCTGACTGACATCTGAAGTTTTAAGTGTCTAAACACAGTAAAAAGCAGCCTACAAACACACGGCTAGCTACAGCAGATGAGCTCTACACCCATCGAAGGCACGCCCACAACACCCTGCTTCCTCCCCAGCCACTGACTCGTGTCCGGATGAGGAACTACGATGATTGGCCGAGTCCGGCTGCTTCTCAAACAACCCAGCAGTGAATTAAAGATGCCGCTTTGGCACTTTATCTACAAGTTAAAGGAACAGTTACACATTTCGTGAAATTTACTCATTGGCTTTCTTGGTGAGTGTTAATTGGCAATATAGTTGTTATACATTCATGCCAATAAAGCAGCTTAGCAGTGTCCAAAATGTCGAAATGACAGTAAAGAGAGACAGGAAAGGCCGGAGAGAGAGGGGGGATGCAGCCCGGTCGGATTTGCCCCGGGTCGCTGAGAACTCTGCCTTGATAAGTTGTACAAGGTCAGCTAGTGTTATTTGTTAGCTGGGAAATAGTCCTGCACATATTTCAAGCTTTACATTCTCGAAGCACATGTGCTGTTTAAAATGATAATGCACATTAACCATTGCAGAGATTCTCGTTTATAGCCAGCGAACATCAATTTTGCTGACTGAAAAGACACCTGTATCAGCTGTAACTAGCTAGCTACACTGAACAAAATCATAAATGCAACTGTTTTTGTCCCCATTCATCATGAGCTGAACTCAAAGATCTAAGACTTTCTCTATGTACACAAAAGGCCTATTTCTCTCAAATTTTGTTCACAAATCTGTCAAAATCTGTGTTAGTGAGCACTTCTTCTTTGCCGAGATAATCCATCCACCTCACAGGTGTGGCATATCAAGATGCTGATCAGACAGTATGGGTACTGCACAGGTGGGCCTTTGGCTGGCCACAATAAAAGGCCTTAGGCTGGCCACAATAAAAGGCCACTCGAAAATGTGCAGATCGTCTGAGACGAAGCCACCTGGACAGCTGCTTCAACAATCGGTTTGCATAACCAAAGAATTTCTGCACAAACTGACAGGAACCGTCTCAGGGAAGCTCATCTGTATGCTCGCCGTCCTCATCGGGGTCTCGACCTGACTGCAACTTCGCACAGCCATTGAAGAGGAGTGGACCAACACTCCACAGACCACAATCAACAATCTGATCAACTCTATGCAAAGGAGATGTGTTGCACTGCGTGAGGCAAATGGTGGTCACACCAGATACTGACTGGTTTCCGGACCCCCCAATACAGAAAAACATTTTTGAGTGGCCTTTTATTGTGGCCAGCCTAAGGCACCCCTGTGCAATACCCATGCTGTCTGATCATTATAGTTCAGTATAATTAAACTAACGTTAATTCCATAAATTGTTTAGAAACTCTTGCTGACTTAAATTTCCTCAGCTGAGTCCCTTTTAAGGCGAGATTCCTGTCAAAGAGGGTAAATGCACTTGATGGCTACATCCATTCTATCAAGCTAAAAGACCTACGCTAACAGGTCCCTGGCAAAAACTCTGCACCCTCATTATCCGAGTTCAATCTGTTATTTTCATTCTGACATAACCCTTGGTTTGGCTGTTTAGCTTACATACTAGCTTGTATTTTTAAACTGTATGTTTTTACAGAGATAAGGGCTTTCAGGATGAGGATTAACTGATGTGTTTGGCAATCGTTAACACTATCTCAGGTAGCATTGGCTGTGGTTGCTGGAGCGTAAACGTCCCCAAAATCCAATTAAATAGCAGGACAGAGCCGCAGACGTTAGCATAAACTCTGTTGGCACCCAGGGTCGCCTTCCACACAGTGGATGTGCCAGATCTGAACACAACCAGTGACCCCACAAACTAATGTAACAAGTTAATGATATGCCCCTTGGCCTTGGAAGTAATGCTCAGTAACTGCTGTAGGTATAGCCAGACATGCTAGAGTAGCTATTCCTTACACTTTGTTTTGTTTTTATCTTATTTGAGCCCAGTGAATACTGCTTCAAAATGTGGAGAAATCTGCAGACTGACAGACCTGCAGTTTTTCTAAGCTGTGAATTGCTGCTCGGGGTAACTGTCAACTGTGTTTTTTACATTTCCAACCTGTCGAGCTCTTTCCCCCTTTGTGGTATCTATGCTGGCTTAAGCAGCATAAATCTTCTCATCTAACACCCTGCAAGAAAGCTAATAATAGTTTAACTATCCCTTTAATGTCGCAAAAGAAAGTTTGGTTGCCGCAGAGGTGGGAGCTTCGGGACGGGTCACATCACAGTAGCATACTGATATGAAAAGACCACCAAGGACACATTGAAGGCAGAAACAACACAGCTGATTATCTAATTAATAATACTGATATTTTAAAAGCCACCCTGGGGAATGTTTGAATACTTAACTGAGTCCACTGGCACTTGATATCTTAAAAAGATTCATGGTCTCAGTAACGACTTCCCAAGAGGTTTGACGTGTCCTTGGTGTCCTTTTTTATTAAAAAGCCAACAATCTAAGGCATTAAACAATTTCATCTAAAAAAAAAAGAAGGTATAAAGCTAAAACCAGAGACATTCAGTTTGTTCTCTCAAAGTAAAAAAACTTAAATAATTGCATAAATAAAGCATGTGATTATGAATCTGTACACGACATGTTAGCAGTGTCCTGTACAGGCGCTGGATGCAGTGACTATGTATGAGTCTACATATATAATGTTGGTTACATCTTAGAGTTGCAGTATTGAGGTAACTTTATAGTGGGAGTAAAGACGAGACAGGAAGAGGACATGCATTGGACAGAAGTGAAATGTAGATAGAGGTGTTAGTGTGTACGTCCCTTTTGTTCGCATCATTCAAGTTTTACAAAAATCGCTCCAATAAAGCATCGATAATACTTGATATTTTAAGTGATCTTTAGCGCACCACATGATACAGTCAGTGTACCAGCGTCCTCCACTTTCTTCTTCTTCTTAGAATCAGGACCGGGTCAGGGTAGCAGATGTTGCAGCGCTGAATCGTCCACTTCGTTGACCGCAACGATGTGATCAGGTGTTGCAGGTACCGCTCCTGGTCTCGCATGAAGTGTGGGATTCTGGTCCGTGGGAGAACCGCCAGATGCCGCAGCCTCTCCACATCTTCGTAGGACACCTGCAGAGGTGATCGGAGAAAAGTTTATCTGTGGGTTTGCAGACAGAAACACCTACTGGCCAATGAGAAGTCTACCTTAATATAATACTCACATACCTGCGTATGTTTAAAGAGTTAAGCCTTATTTATACTTCTGCGTCAACTGTACGCCGTAGCATATAGTGTACTGACGCACGTAGCCATGCATTTATACCTGTGCGCTGGTGTTTGCATCGTTCTGCAATTACACCGCCAAAATGTTAGTTGGCAGTAGCGTTATAGCGTCCACTGCGCTGACCTCTGCCGGCCGAGCCAGCCAACTTCTGGTTCAGCCCTGCGCTAACCTGAATGGGGGTAAAATAATAACCGTGCCGCGCTTCTAGACTTTTCAAACTTTAGCAACCAAATGGATCACATTCTGAAACAAGTCATTTCACGGGGGTTGTGACGCTCAAATACACTGCTCAAAAAAATAAAAGGAACACTAAAATAACCCATCCTAGCTCTGAATGAATGAAATAATCTCATTAAATACTCCTTTCTTTACATAGTTGAATGTGCTGACAACAAAATCACACAAAAATTATCAATGGAAATCAAATTTATCAACCCATGGAGGTCTGGATTTTAAATAAATAAAGTGAAATTGAGTAACACATAGTAAGCTACAGTAAACAGTGCTGGAAATCATACAACATTAAACCACAATTCACACAACTATAAAACATTTTGACAATAATTAAAAGTAAATAATCTGACTTTTTCTTTCCTATAATTTAAATAAATCAAAATATTCATTATAAAATAAAACAGATTCTTTATATAATAGTGAACAGAACCAGGCTTGATGTTGATTGTTTTTCCTTACCTAAAAAGCCCTGCAGAGGGAAGCAGCTGATAATTATTCCTTTTTTAATCTGCAGCAGTCTGAATAAAGTTTATTTAAAACTCCTGCTGATTTTTGCACATAACACTTTGTGTTGGTAATAAAGCCTCTTATCTGAAGGAGTTCACACTGACCTTGCCTAAAGAAGTCAACATCTTGAAGTCGATGGCCCTTCGGTGCCGAAGGATTCGGAGGATCCCGTCCAGATAAACCTGGTCTTTACTGAAGCAACCTGAGACAGAAACATGCAACACACAGGGAGCGTAAAAATGAAAGTTATTCTCCAGTTTAACTGTTAACCTCTGGGGATGAGGAGGATGTAAATAAGCCACTGGCAAAGATAAGACAGTAAAGAAGAAATCTTTTCAAAATTATAGCCATCGAAGTACACTTAATGACAAAACAATTGCACTGGACTGGAGAATATTGTACAGGTGTATCTAATAAAGTGATCACTGAGTGTATTTATCAATCTATTACTATGAAATTGGTTGCTGCCTTCCAAATTCATGGCTTGTCTGATAATAAGAATTAGAACTGCTATATAAATTGTGGTATGATTAACACACTAACCCTACTTACAATCACATTTATTTGTCAGTGAGAGAGACCTTATATGATGATAGATGAACATTGTATTTGCATTTTAACCATTGAGCTTTACGGTCTTGTCTTTGCTTCATGATCAATTCTAGTGGCTTTTTAGGAAATATCATCATGTTTTAGATTTGTAAGTCACTTTGGACAAAAGCATCTGCCCTAAATGTAAATCCGGTGGGGACTTTAACCTGAATGCACATTAACTGATGGACACTTGTGTCACTGTGGGGACAAAAAATTAGGCCCCATGGGAGGAGGCTGCTTTTTGGAGGGTTAAGACTTGGTTTTAGGGGTCAGGTTAGAGCTAGGGAAGGCATTATGTGAAAGACGTCCTCACGAAAATAAAGGAACAAGTGTGTGTGTGTGTTCACCGGGCTGCGAGGTGTCCGTCTGTCCCCTCTTGGCTCTCAGGCAGTACTCCCAGCGGACGTCCGGGTCCCGGACGAAGCGGGCGATGTGGCTGAAGAGCCGGCTGAAGCTCATGCTGCTGGCGTGGTACACCGTGTAGTAGAGCAGAGCCGCGCGCCACAGGTAGGGCTGTTTCCGTAGCAGCACGCTGTGCAGGCTGGCCAGACCCTCCTCCGTGGGATTGGCCGGTTTGAGGCCGAACTTCTTCCTGCCTTCAGCGGTGCCCCATGGCTGCAGGTTGTTGTTCACCCCTCGCAGGTAATGTGTCCCTGAGGAGTCAATTTCATTTATTTTAACTGATTTTTTTTTTTTATTTCATTAATTGTTCCCCCTTATTTTTATCTTTATTCAAATTTATCACTTGTTGGCTCAGTGCTATTTTCATAAATTGTTTTCAATAATGACGTTTGCAACATAAAACTGTCCCATGTTGTAAACCTGAATGGCGAGTGCTAAGTGTGTTTTTAATGCTGCGTTCACATTACATGACATTGCATGGAGGGTACGGTTGAGTAGGATTGTTAAAATGTTGTAACACCATATCCAGAGTTTAATTATGTTGAAAGAGGACTCTGACAGATGTCAGGCATCCATGTTTGTTTGGTCTTTGGCACTTTTTTGAGGGTATTATTAAGCTGATAACTCAGGTTTCAGGAAAATTGTTTCCCAGCTGTAATTACGACTCTGAAGTTGTCGTGACTATTACACAATCACACTGAAATGACTTTTTAAAACTAGCTAACTTTACTAGATTTTTTGTGAGAAACACGTTTCGCCTTTGGCTTCTTCAGGTTCACGCAGTGAAATTACTAAAACACTCACAGGTGTGCTAAATAGAGACTGTGTAGGTCACATGACCAGTAAATTCCTTTTTTTCTATTACATGTGATTAATATCAAAAATATATACAACATACATGAGTCTAAATAACTTAAATTTATTTATTTATTTATATTTTGATATTAATCACATTTCTGCTGTTTGAGTTATATTATTTTGTGTGAGATTTTATAAATATGTAAAAACAGGAGAAAAATGCAATAGAAAAAAGGGTCATGTGACCTACACAGTCTCTTTTTAGCACACCTAAGTTTAGTAAAGTAATTTCCGTGTGCAGAATGTCGTTGCTGTGCACGGGGAATTTCTTGCGTTATTAAATAAATCCGGGTCTTCTGCAGACCGGGCACCGGATCCAAAATGCTACCAGCTATTGAGACTCCTACCTATGCTTTGCGCAAATCTTTTTTCTCTTTGACAACTACAGATATATTTAAGACCAACAAGTAGTCTCTCAAAACTTTCAAAAACCCACCCTAAAGTACCTCAGACTTTGAAGATAATTTACACCTCTGGGCCAATTTATTGATGCCGTCTGTGGATCATTGAACCGATAAAGTGATCAAAGACACTTCCACATGTTCCAGGAATTCCAGCAATGTAATAGCATAAAACATAAAGGATTTCTGGTTTTAGTCTTTCCCCCGCATGTTGAAGCTGGCTGCAGGGATTTGCTCCATTCAGCCACCAGTGAGGTCCAACACAGATGTTGGGTAAAACACCTCTGGATCAGTTTTCCAGTTTCTCACAAAGGCGTTGGATGGGGCTGAGGTCAGGACAGACTGTACAGACCTGTCCAGTTCTTCCACAGCAAACTGGGAAATAATTTCCTTACGGAGCTGCTTTGTGCACGGGATCAAACACAAAGTGTCGCCACAAAGTTAGAAACACACCTGGGCCATGTTTCAGAAAGCGGGTTTAGTGAAAACTCTGAGTAATTTGAGCCTGAGATGAGGGAAACTCTGGGTTTTTGGTTTCAGAGAGTGAGATCAAATAAACTCTAGGTCTGTAACCCCGGCAACTTACGCTGTGAACCTAACCTGCTCGGGACGAGGTTTACTTCAACTAACGCTGAGTTTCTCTCTGACTCCTCCCCTCCTGCAGAGCCTGAGGGTGTCTGACATTTCCTCATTCAGACTGTCGATATCAAAGCACATATTGGACACAGTTACGTTTTTAGAAACATCGAAATCACGGTTAAATAGGCTGTTAGTTTGTTTTTTTTACCCAAACATGATCTTGAACATGACAGCTTTTATGATCAATCTGTCATCGATGTATGGACAGAGAGTTATCTTTGGACATCGAAAATTTATCATCAGCACAGAATAAACTCTATATGCTACTATCCTTTATAACTCAGCGACTCTGTGGACATTAAGGCAGCTGTCAGGTTGGCAACAGTTGCACAAAAACACTTACCGTGCGCTACAGTGCTGCAGTAATCACTGTTTAAAGTATTCTGTATAAAACTGATCAATAAACAGTAACATTTCGTAATGTGGTTGCACAGATTGAACATTCCTATCGTATCAGCTGGATATGATGTGAATATTTCTGAGTGAGGATGACTGTGGTGCAGCTGAAACAAATACATGTAGTTTAAAAGTGAGTTTTTCATTGTCTGCTGATAGTCTGAATGTGTTTTGACAGCATTTCATGAAATACGAAATGAGCAAGATTTTATTTATGTGACATAGACATCTAAAACTTCACAGTCAGTTTGAACTTAGACACATTTTCCACTGCAAAAAAAATCATTAATAGCCATAGGCCTGCTGAGTCGGACTGTGGCTTTACAATCACAGGTCCATGAGGAGCCTAAACTGTGTCTAATCTGTTCGATTAATATTTTCATTTCATTTTCAGTTATTGCCACCGGCATTTAGTCCCGTCAGGTTACAGCTGAAGAAACAGGCCTGTAGCTGTTTAAAATGAATAACAGGCTGGAGGAGAATTCCAGCACTTTATCATTCATTAAGGAAATTCCAGTCTGGTAAATGATGAATGAGCAACGCTGTATGAAATGTAATATTGTTAACGTATCGATCTTGCGTCTTTGAGCCAATCAGGGTCCGTGTTGGCAGCATTCATATTTCTAGCTCCACCCAATTAAAATGGAGGCTCTTTATTTTCCCCGTTGCCGTGGTGAATCGTAGTATCGGAGCTCCCATCAGGCCCAAATACTCAGAGTTGTCTGAACTTATTCTGATCGGCCTTTCTGAAAAGGAAAGTTCTGAGTTTGTCAACCCAGAGTTCAGGTTTACCTTTCAGTTTGTTGAACCTGCTTTCTGAAACAGGACCCTGTTGTATGATGCAGGATTAAGACTTCCGTTAACGGACACTGAAAGGGCCCACGCTAGGAAAAACAGCCCCATAGGTACACAAAAGTATTTGGACAGGAGAGATCAAAGTCCCCTGAAGAGGAACTGAGGAAACACATATTCTGGGAATGGAGACATCTAATCCTCAGACTTGGCTTCGGGCTGCACAGCTGGTTAGACTATCCTAGACTACAGTATCAAATTTTATTTGAAAAAAGATTGTGTAAAGCAATGTGTGTGTAAAATAATGAAGGTGCAAAATTACAACTGCCCCGTTTTCTCAGACAACGCCCTCAAGCTAATGTTTCATCCATCCTAATCTGTATTTTTTTTACCACTGGCTGTAGATCCTGGGTGTTGAAAAACTAATATCGTTTGAATTTTTTGTGGCTGCTACAACAGACATTTCCTGTTAACTGACAACAAAGTGAAGTGTTGTCTGTCCCTCAGTGTTGCTTGTTTTTGTATAAAACCTGTCCTGCGCAGCAGCCTGGTATAGAGTATGATGAGCTGGATACCATATTGTGCCAGACAGATTTTACTTTAACAAGAGAGTATTAATATACTCCTTTGTCCGTTTTATTTTTTATTTAATTATGTATTAATTCGTCACCGGGCCGGACAGGGGGGCAGACATGGGATGGGGGGGCACAAACAGACAGACCTGCAAGAGAACGGGGAGGGTGGGGCTTGGGGTGGAGAAAATGCAACAACAAACAAACAAAAAATAAAAAAAGAAGACAACCAGCCAAACAGCAGCAATAAACAGCTGACACAGGAAGACAACTAAGAGAGAAATGAAAACAAGAAACAGTCCGGCACAATAAATAAGCAACACAGCAGAGAGCTGGAATAATAACAATTAATTTAAATAAGTAACTGAAAGAAAGGCATCAGGAATAATTCTACCAGGGACAACCTAAATTTGTTTGTGTCTATGTGTTTAATTATTTAAGTATTTTAGCCCTCTGACTGACTCAGGCTTGCTTGACCTGGTCTTGTTCAGTGCAGAGCTGCCTTGCTTATACAAACTGAAGAGGCAGGTGCCATCCTGAAGTTTCTTGAAGGTCTTCAGCATAATCTGATTCACTGTATACAACAAAAACACTAATATGTATTAAAATAAAAGGCATAAAAGGCCTCTCGGTCTCAAAGTCCCGGGCTGAATTTCAGTCCCAGTACATCCCTGGATGCCATAACCATGCGGCACCGACCCCAGCAACAGGCATGCAAGAACCCAGTATTTTCAAAAAGATGGACCGTGACCGCTCACACAACAGAGACCACTGCTCCCTCCCAGCCCAGCACCCCACCGCCGCAGAGCGAACAACCAAAACGCCACGCAATCATCAGCTCACAACCTCACACAACCAGACACACAACACTCTGAGGGCTGTGGAGGTTTTATTTTTAAAGTTTGAGAGTCTCAGAGTCCGCTCTTTGCTGCAGGTTTCAGATTTCTTTGCTGGTGACATTAGACAGACAGCGTTTGACTTCTGTGTTTGTTACGTACCATATCCAGCTTGCACAGGATACGTTAGAATAAAGTTTTAGAGGAGCAAAAGATTCATCTTTTCTGTTTGTCTGCATCCACAGAGAAATCTGTGTTTCAGTTAGTAGTTATTGATGCGTGTATGTTGTTCCTCAAATGTAAGTCGCTTTGGATAAAAGCGTTATTATGAATGTTAATGTCATACAGTTTTTAATAAGAGGGAAATATCTGACGTTATTTACTAATTTAGTCAAATGGTATAAGCATAACGTTTTTTAATTTGAGGGGAAGAAAAAGAAAGATTGACATCATTATTAACCAGCATTTATTTAAGTTTCAGGTCAGATGTGTCGACTGTACTCCATATAAACATGTCAGAGTAGCATCCTAATCTGCTAATAATAATCAGTTTGATACTTCCAATGAAGAGGCTATAAGTTAACGGACATTTTGTTGCTAAAAGACTTAATTCTATTAAGTCTTTTTCTCTAATTCTAGTAAGTCTTTTTCCCTTAGTGAATACAATGTGCTTCTCTAAGTTTGTGAGATGCATCCAGTTTAAATTTAGTTAAGTAAATACTTTACGTTGGAATGAGGAATTGCAACTGCTGTACATGTCAGAGGTCGCACGCCTCTGGAGCAACTAGGGGTTAAGTGTCTTGCTCAGGGACAAAATGGTGTCTCACAGTGGGTCTCTCACACCAAAGGAATGTGTCTTATCCATCGCGGCATCACCAGTTTTAGTATTTAACTTTATTTATCTAATGCAAAAAGCTAAACGCAGGATTCAGAGCATATAAAATGCTACTGAACACCGAACCTTCTGCAAAAATAGTCACTGTGAATGAATTTAATGTCTGACACTTTGTGACTCTGTTCATTTCTGATCCAGTGTGTGAGCTGCAGCATACCAATTTCATGTCTCAGCATCCCCTCCAGCCAGTGCTGTCGAGCTCCGGCCAGGTTGATGGTTAGAGTGGGACGACAGCTCTCCACCACCATCACGGCCTGAGACAGCAGCTCGTCAGACAGGCGCACCACAACCTGGACACAGACACTGTTCATCACCATAAAGCAGTTTATTTAGTGACCTTACTGGGTTTCTGCCTGGTTGCTCTTCATACAAGACAATTCATTGTGAAACAGCTGACACACTGAGCAAACATTTTCCACCTTAGGAAAACCGGAAAACCATATTGTTTTTATTTTACTGCCAACCCTTTCCATGTAAAAATACACATACAGCGAATGGGATGTCCTCACTGGACCAGGTAAATACAGTTTTGAGCGTCTTCACTAAATGTTATAAATATATAATAAATTGTTTCTATATTAATGGATATTTGTCTGCTACGTAGCAGAAGGGAGTTACAAACTCAATTTCACTCTGTAATCTGTTATACTGTGACAAAACAAATCTACCTACCTACCTAATCTTAGCTTAGTGAAATATTGGATAAATGTACCTCTTTGAGTCGTTAAATAAAGCAGCGGAGCAGCTAACAAATCAATTAAACTTAGTAATTAAACATGGTATCTAGATTACTTTACAGGTGAAAAAAAAAAAAAAAAAAAGACTTATTTATTATTATTTTATATAAATAAATGTGAAAATACCAATATAATTATATTATGTCTACTTATTAACTGACTAATCGTTTGAACTCTACATTGTGGCTGTTATGTGTGCTGAGCTCAGGTTCACGTGATGCAACATCAAGCAGCAGGAAGATTAGCGTTGGCTTTAGCAGACACCTGGGGGGCAAGGCAGGGCAAACAGTGAAGATAACCTTTACACAGCTCAGGGGCAGAGGTAACAAACTGCCCACGGCTAAATTTGGCACAACAATTAGAGACATGGGTTAGTTGCTGTTTCTAAGTAGGATTGTGCCGATTTTAAGACATTCTGTTTATCTAATGGACAGTGGGACTAAAATGTGTGCCTGTGTATAAAAATCATTATACTGTGGTTCTCCAGCAGTAGCTTCCTAAATATGTGTTAAACATTAACTATAAACCTGCTGCATGTACACTGATAACACATTGTGTTTCTGTCTCTTTGAGAAGTTGTTTTGAAGTTGCATAAAGCTTAAAGTAGGAAAAGCACAGGTGTAAATAAGAACATGAATGATGGCTGAATCCCATTTAGCTGCTTCATTTTCAGGGTCCTGGTATTGTTTGTGCCGGCTTACAGAGACACTCGAATAGAACTGAGCAATCGTTAATCTTATTAGCAACACCTGTGCTTTTTCCTACTGTCTCAAAATATCTGCTGTGGTAAAAGGTGGTTGGAGAGTCGCCTCTGTTGTTGCACTCACCTCTCCCACACAGCCTTCTTTCTGCAGATATTTGCGTACAGCAGCCCAGACTTGACTTTTAGGGAGGACGCCGCCACCCGTCACTTCCTCAAAGTTCTCGTAAGAGCCAAACTTCCTCAGGACGCACTCCATGATCCCAACCGCCTGCAGATAAACAGTAAAGTCATCATCATCATCATCATCGTGTGAGCTCACAGGTGATTCTCACAGGTTTCACATACTGTACCTGTTCGAGGAAGAGGCCTGAGCCCTCTCGGTACTTCTCCAACACAGTCCTCGGCTCCGGCTGTGCGTACTCAAACTGAGGCTCGTACTTGTAGTCAGATTGGAAGAAAGTCTGCTTCTCCTGCTCCAAGTTAAGAGGCCTGAGGGCAACGAGCAGACAGGGCCTGGAGGGCGTAGGCGTCGTCGTCCCCCCAATCCCCTTCGCTATATGTGGCAAGGAGGTGGCAGGTCGCATTTGCCCCTTGCTGGCCCGATGCGCCAGGGAGTAATTGACTGAGCAGGTGCTCTCGCTGCGTCGCATCCAGCCGCCTGCACCCAGACTGGGGCTGGTCAGACTGCGAGTCGGAGGCGAGGGAGCTGCCGAACCGCTGCGCCAAGGAGGCTGCACGATCCGCCTGTCCGCCGTCTGCTCCCGAGTCCCTCGCAGGTGCTGGGGCGTCATTTCCAGGCTGAGGGGACGGCGGAGTGGCGGTCTGGGTGTGGCCCCGCTTTTGATGATGACGATCTCCTCTCTACTACCTGGCTGCTGTTCGTCTGGACGGGAAGTCCGTTGTGGGACACCTTCTCCTTCTTGGCAACATTACTCTTTTTGGCCGGCGTCCTGGGCCTCACGGGGGTTTTGGGCGGATCTGCTCTGACTTCTGGCTCCAACAGGTCCCTGCTGCTCCCAACACTTTCACCCTCAACCTGATCCATGAAGACTTCACCTGAGTCCAACACCATCACCACAGCCGGTACGCCTCAGGCCCCACCTTCCTCCAGCCCCGGCGCTGCTGACAGAACAGAGAGATTAATGTGCTTAATGTTGCTGGAAAATGGGGATGACGTCTCTCCCTGCTGCTGCTTTCATTAGATTGTTTTGCGAGTTGAGTTGAGTAAATGAGCGGCAGCAGTTCAGTCGCTGTTTGTGGTAGAAACACAGACTAACACAGAGAAAACTGATCAGCTGTACAGTCCATGATGTCTGAACAGAGGCTCCACAGGAACAAAGCTTCCCTCACATGTGACTTCCCACTTATAATAGTAAGCCTTAAACATTTACTTGTGATGAAAGGAAAAATAAACTGCCACTTTAATTTCATTTTATATTCTCCATGGAGACAGAAGAACAGATTACTGACATGGGAGTTCACAGTGATTCATTCTGAAGGGAGACAAAACAAATCAGTTCCTGTAAGCATCTCTTTAACTCCCCAAAACCAACAGCAACTAACACAAACACTCACCCAACAGCGAGTCCCGGGACTTCTGCAGAGGATTCGTGGATTTCCGCCGTTTTCATTCACTCATAGCGGCTGCAGCTCCTCGCAGGCTGAGCGGAGGAGCTGTGCGTTTCACCGGTGGATGATGATGATAATAAGCGGATAGCGGTTCAGTGTGGAGCGGGGCCTGAGGCGCCTGCCTGGGCCGGCCAGGAAGCGGCGGATGTGTTGGAAGATATGACGCGTTACGCACGGAAACACGCTCTCCGCGTCATTACGTTCAAGTACGTAAGGGAGACTTAATGCACAGATGCGATAATGTGGGAGAATGTGGTGTTTTGCTTCAATAAAAGTCAAAATAAAGAAAATAAATACTTTGTAAAGAATGTATTTATCCTAATGGCATAATTGCACATTCATAAATGTGAATCAAGCAGTAACAAAATAACCTAACTATTTTTTCTCTGTGCGGTTGTGCATTATGTCAATTTAATTTAAAACAACAAAAATGCTCTGAAAACAGTCAATATATGGTCCTCTTTCTTTAAATTTTTATCTTTTACTATTTGTGTATTATATATTTTTAAACTGTTACGTATACCTCACATGTGTATTGCATGCTTCTTTTTGCAATAAAGATAAATAAAAAGAAAATAAAGAGACTTTGTGCGCTGATTCTAGATTTGTTTATAAAATGATGTGTGTGTTTTATACAACACTGATAAATACAAGTGAAATTTTAATTATTTTAATAGTAAAATTGGCAAAATACAAAAACAACAATTCTAAATATACAAAGTCAAAACCCTATTTATTGCTTGTTAATTACATGAAACCTTAAATTTACCAGATGTTGTTACTGATTACATGTTAGGAATGACAAAAAATACTCAAATTAATGAGCAGATTAATGCCAATGGTTTTGGAATAAGACTTTAATCTGTCAACAAGTGAAATGTAACATATTTAATTTAATGATAAAAGTACTAAACAGTTTACAAAATCTACTCCAGGCATTTTCTTAACGCTGTCTGTTAGTTATTTCTTACATATGGCAGCCCATTCTTTCAAATAAAACAGATTAAATGATAAGACTAAAAATATTAATTGAAGTAAAATTAATTAACAGATCAATGATGCAAAATGCAAATTTATTGATCATGTTCTTTTAACAATCCACATACTTGTGGGCGTCCATGGTCACGTTACAGATATGAATATAACGTTATATTTGAGCTGTCAAAACACCTGTGCAAACACCATGGAAGTAAAGTATTAACTATCATAGGTATGTAGTTTGTGATGATTACAGCAGGTACGTCAGTTATGATTGTACCTCTGGATCAGAGAAGCTGGTATAACTTGTCGTCTTTGGCTTTGGCTGCTGGTAATGAAATGGTGTGACGGCCCCTGTGTGATCCAGTGAGGCATCACTCTGTGGGAGTGATGCCTCACTGTTGTTAACCGTCTTTGTTCTGTTGAGGTGATTGCTGATCGGGTGCACCTGGTACCTGTGAGCCAGTGGAGATAAAGCTCCACTTGGTCAAAATACTTTCTCTGCAGTCCAGACATCAACCATAGCCTGATCACCCTGACTGCTACAGAGACACACCTTCCACATTTAAATAGTTATGTTTATTCACTCTTTTGTTAAATAAATCACTTTTGATCATTTAGTTTGTAGGTAACTTGTGTTCTTACAAATTAGTAGTAGTTGTTGTTGTGGCTGCAGTCAACGGGTAATCCAGCTGACTGTTGTGGGTCCTTGTTTAAGTATTACTGATAAAAGTGGTTGGAGTTTTTTCTTGTAGGCTGTAGCGACAATCCACTTTTGGGCTTGTTGAGCTGATCCTTGGTAGTGTTGCGGCGAATGTGGGTGAAGCTTTTAGCTTGGGAGCGTGTCCGTGGTTTTGGCAAGGCCGCTAGTGTGCTAATTGCTCTTCCAAGCCAGCGGCCATTAGTGCATAAATACCCACCACAAGTAGCTGCATGAAGACTAGGGATGAGTTAGTTACTTGGGTTGATCAAGATAGCGGGAAGTTTGAGGAAGCTGTAACTGTCTGTTGCTGTGGTTTTGATGTGCCAGTTGTAGTTTGTTTTTATGGCAGATTGTGATGCGTTTATTGCAGCTCCGTCTAAAGAGGCATTGGAGCGTTGTACAAAGGAGCAGCTACTAGAGATTGCGGAGCACTTCTCGGTGGTGGTAGTAGTAGGCGACAAACATTAGGGTAGCTTTGAAGTCTGAGTTGAGGGAGAAAAGTGTTTGCTGTAGACGTGTTGTGCTGTTAAAACAAAGACAAGAAACCAAACAAACAAAGGAAGCTGTAAGAGAAGACTGCTGCTCTGGCTTATATGCATGGGGCACACCGGGCCCAGGTGTGTCCCACGCCGCTGATTTCCCTGTCAATCAGGTCTGCAGCCCTGGAGACAGAAAGCACACCAGCAGCAGTATGAACCCTGAAGAGGGGCCGTCACATGTATCACCCCTCTTTGTTCTCCTTCTCAGATGATCTGCCCCGCCCTGATTCGTCTTACCTGCGACCTATTCACTCTTCTCTGGTGGATTAAAGCTGCCTGTACCTCTTTGTGGCGGCCAGTTTGTCTTGTCTATTCTTAGTAAGCGTACCGGTATTGTTATTTTTTATTAAGCTATCTTGTGTGTAGCTCGGCTCTGCCTTGTCTTTCTAATGACTTCCCGCGTACCAAACATTTGTTGCAAGTAAACCTTATTCGCCTGAAATCTTTCCTTCTTATGTGACGTCTGCTTTTGCAACATATTTGAACTAAAACATAATACCAATAAAGACAATTGAATGTAGATAGATTGATAGATTATAGCAGTGGAGGTGGGCCGCCATGTCTCAAATTAGACCCACCTCCACTAAGATCATACAAGAGAATCGGTGCAGATTCAAGTCTAAACAAAACCAACATGTAGCCGTATGTATATTAACAGTTATGGCGGCTGTGATTGTTCCTGCTTCCTCAGATAATCTGAGGCTTCAGCAGTGTTGGAGAGTTAGACGAGTCAAGAGGATATAAACAAACTAATAGAAACTTCCTGCTTTTTGTTTCTATCCCTCCACCGCAGCCCAGCAAGCAACCACAGCATGCCATAAAAGCAAATTTGGTAGACACCCGATTTGTTTCACAGATTCTAGAAGCATCATTTCAGCTTCAGATGAACTCTGCAGTGTATTAGACTTTGAGGACTGAAATTTGTCTCCTATCACTTACATTGCAATCATTTTGGGAGGAGATCTCTTTGCAGGACCGATTACAGCGACCTATAACTCTTTAAATGTGCATATTTTCCATATATTCCATAGATGTTGATTTATACTGAGGAAGCTGGGGACATGTCCCCACCATTTTTTGAAAGCATACTTTGTTCAACATAGCTTGCAACAAGAAATGTTAAATAACAAATGAACATGTTATGAGAAAGGTTTCTTGGCACAATAAGTAAATATGCAATGTTGTTTAAATATAGAAGAAACATATGTGCATTGTGCCAATAAAGAGTAGATAACAAGCTTCTGATTATAAAATGACCCAAAAATGTGCACTGGTCAGTAACTTTAACTACTTCCTGACACAGTTTCTTTTTGGCCAAGTTTTCCGTTCTCACCCTGTGAACATGACAGAAGGGGAGGGAAGACTAAATCACTCCTGCATGTGTGTGTTCACTCAGCAGGGATGATATTAAATATGAAAAGTTAATCTACAAGTGAAACATATCAGAAACAGCACAGAATGCCTGAGAGCATGTTTTTATATTCTGAATGGTCACCTGCCATCTGAATTTTGTGTTTCCCTTCATATAAATAAAAATATTTTCTCCATAAACGGATTCAGAAAAGTCAGAAATTGGTGCAGAATTTTTTTTTTTACCAGAATCCAGGTGTTTAATGCTTAACATTTTGTCCCCAATGCTTTTCAACGCAAAGTGATGCCTTGTTTAGGATAGATAGATAGATCTTCATGGTAAAAGAGCAGATCTGCTGTGTCATAGCAAGTACCATAAACTGTAACTGTTGTTCAGGTTGTTATCTAAGGTGAGTGGTCATGAGATAAGACACTTGATCTGGGTGGCTATTCAGCTGTACCATTTCCTGGTGGACAACCTGTTTGGTATCAGAAACCGGTCTAACCAGTAAATAGATTACCCAGCATTACAAACTTGGTTGGCTCTAGTGTCTTTCCAAAATGAGTTCATTGTTACCGCCTGAAAACCTAGATCTAGATTTTATGTTTTTAACTGAATCCTGGCCTGCAAATGAATGACTATAGCCAGCTAGCTGAACTGTGTCCGCCTCAATATGAGTGTTTTAGTCAGCCGAGGGTCAGTGGTCGTGGTGGTGGGCTAGTGAGCGTGTATAGGAAAAATTTAAAATGTCATCAAGTACGCTGT